TCAGTTTAACAAGTACCATAGATAACTACAGACCAGTCAGTTTAACAACTATCATAGATAACTACAGACCAGTCAGTTTAACAAGTATCATAGGCGAACTGTTGGAAACAATTGTAAGGAATCGCGTTATGGAATATCTAACAAACAGCAAGCTCATAAGTAAGTACTCAGCAATTTGGATTTGTGAAAGTGAGGTCCACATTACTCCAGCTTCTTAAAACCATGGATGACTGGACGAAAATCATTGATGAAAGGGGTGGTATCGAAGTAGTTTATATTGACTTCATCAAGGCCTTTGACACTGTTCAGCACATAAGGCTCATCAGCAAACTGAAATCATTGATTGTCAGCTGAAATAATAAGCTGGCTAAAAGAGGACAGCAGGTTGCTGTTTATGGTCACACCTCTGAATGGAAACAAGTCACTAGCGGAATACCACAATGCAGTGTACTTGGACCATCATTGTTTGTTTTGTAGATTTGAATGCCCTACTCTTTGCTGATGATACTAAATTGTATAAAGACACCTGTGTCAATGGTGATCTTCAGCAGGATCTAGACAATTTACAACAATGGTCAGACAAATGGTTGTTAAAATTCCACCCAAACAAATGCGAAACAATATATTTGGGAAAGATTTTTTTTACAATGATCTGCATTTATACCAAGATGTTGATGGTCTGAGAACAACAGCAACGCTAACTAAGGAAATGGAAGAGAAAGACCTTGGGGTAATTGTCGACAATAAATTAAGTTTTAGAAATCATGTACATGCTGCCGTAAACAAAGCAAACCGAATACTTGGAGCCACCAGAAGAACAAATACATAGTTGGATTATAAATCATTCTGCCTACTCTATAAAGCTTTAGTTCAACCCCATCTAGAGTATGGAGCATGTGTACGGAAACCAAGATATTGAACTACTAGAAAGTGTCCATCGGAGAGCTTTCATACGAGGAAAGATTGCGTCGTCTTAACTCCCGTCGTTATTCTATAGACGTAATAGGGGAGACATGATAGAAGTGTTTAAAATATTGAGTGGAGTCTATGATACAACAGCATCACAGGGACTTCTGTCAATCATTCACTCAGTCTGGATAAATCAAGAAGCAACGAATTGTTAGCAACTGGAATTCCCTACCGGAGATCGTTATTCAAGCACCAAATCTAATAACTTTCGAAAACCGCAGTGATAAAATTTGGGAAAGTTATGAAAGGAGATTCACAACAACATTGGAGTGACGTCACATCAAAAACATGGTTACTTATTATGATTAAATAAATATGGACTTAAATGTATGATCTGAATATAGAGGCAGATATATGCCTGCGTTCAGAATAAACTAAGTTATTGCCATTATATATGACCCTGTTACTTTCACCCATATTTAAGGTCACAGGGGTCAAATGCCTTAAAACATCTTCTGAATAACCAGAAGGACCAGAGTAATTGTATTTGGCCAGTTGCATGCTAGAATGAAGGACCACATAATGTTTCAAGTTTGTTCAAATGAATGACATTAATCAATATTCAAGGTCACAGGGGAATAACATGTTTAAAACTTTGAACAACTTCTTCTGAATAACCAAAATGCTAAGGTGATATTTGGCCAGTAGCATTGCTGGAGATCAGCTGAAGGTCAATGTAATCAATTTCAAGGTGAAGGTCACAACAATGGAATCTTTTCATTATGATGGGACAACAAGAGGCCCAATGGGCCTGCATCGCTCACCTGGTATTAATATCACAATTGTAACCTTAAAAGTGGACCAAAATAAAGCTACAGGCAAAATATCAGTGTCTTGACTTCAAGTCATTCAGAAGAACCTGTTAAACGATTAAAACACATTTGACCCCTGTGACCTTGAAAGTCAAACATGAACATTAAATTAATTTGAACAAATTTCAAAGCCCTTCCTCCCAGAATGCAACTTGCCAAATATCACCATCTCGTACCTTTTGTTTATTGATTTTAAAGATGCATGCACTATGGACAAGATGTGACCATGAAAGTGTGTCGAGGTCATTCACATCAACATGCAATCACTCTGTATGCTTTAGTTATTTAGAAGAATTCGTTTAAAGATTTTAACACATTTGACCCCTGTAACCTTGAATATGGGCAAAGGTCTTTCATTTGAACAAACTTCGTAGCCCTTCATGCCAAAATATCACACCCTGGACCTTTTGGTTATACGAAAAAAGTTGTTTATACGTTTTTAAGACAATCAACCCCTTTGACCTTAATATGAGTGAAGGTCATTTGTCATAATCCTGGACCTTTTGGTTATACAGAAGAAGTCGTTCAAACATTTCAACATATTTGACCCCTGTGACCTTGAAAATGGGCAAAGATCATTCATTTGAACAAACTTGGTAGCCTTTCATCCCCGCATGCTACTGGCCAAATTTTATCACCCTGAAACTTTTGGTTATTCAGAAGAGGTTGTTTAAAGATTTCAACATATTTGACCCCATGTGACCTTGAATATGGGAAAAGGTAATTCATTTGAACAAACTTCGTAGCCCTTCATCCCAGCATGCTGCTGGCCAAATATCATCACCCAAGTTGTTTAAAGTAAAAAGTTGACGCCAGACAGACAACTGGTTTATTTATCTACTCTGTTTCGAATACCGTAAAAACTCGTGTAATCTGCGCACCTTTTTTTAGAAATAAAATGCCCAAAGTGGGGGTGCCTAAAACTCATAATTTCATAGACGTCCACGTTTTTATTGATTCCTGTATTTTTTTCTTCAAATCCAAGAAAGTTTGTTGATTGTTCCCTTTCTTAAGAACTTTTAACTCCTGATCTTGTTTTAACGGCTGTTGTATTTTTTAATGATACTTATCTAGCTTTTCTTCAATACTTATTGTACTTGTGATTCGCCCCAAAAGACACAACTATTTACAACCCAGGTTCGTGTGCTCGAAACAAGGGTTGGTCACAGGCACCAAATGTAACAGGAGCAGGAAAATGCACGGCCAGACCGGGGTTCGAACCGAGACCTTCTGAACTGTAGACAGACGCTCTACCAATCACCTGGTCGCCGACGAGCGACCCAATACAGTACCGCTACATAATTTACCGACTTTGCTTTATTTTAGTGCGGCCAACAGGGCAAACACATCTCATAGTTAGGGGTGGCAGGAGAAATATCATTTTATTAAAATCACTTCATTGAACGTGAACCGCAGCCTCAAACACCCGAATTTTGTAGACGTTTTGTCTGATTCTGATGTCGTATTTTTGTCAGAATGTTGGGTTAGTCATGACAGTAAACTAAACTTTAGTCTTTTCATGACAATATGAATTTATTACATTTCCTCGTCAGAAGGGTAAAGGTGGCAGTCTAGTTTTATTACATAATAAAAACGTGGTTGTGTCTATTGAAAAATGTGTAACGGACACACTTGTATGGGTAAAAATGAACAATCTCCTAGCTTAGATGAATATAACTGTTTTTCTTAAATGCCTCATGATCACAATGTTTACTACACTTTATATGAAAATGATATCTTTGACGCCATCATAGATGACGCCTCGTCTTTCTCTCAACTTGGTACCATCATTGAGGCTGGGGATCTTAATAGTAGAATTGGAAACTCCATTATAAACAATATACACAGGCTGATGCAAAATTGAAATTTGAACAAAATTCACACATTTAAAAGCATGCATACTGTGGTCAATGTCTACACTTTACAAGATAATTTGCTTGAATATTGATTGAACAATATACAAACTTAGACGGTAATTTCATTGTTGAGAGAAATCCATGCACAATTAAGTAGCATACTGCGCTCTGATTGGTCTATGGTTAATTATTGCCCAGTAACTTTGTCAGATAAGACCAGATTATGATGAAACTTGGTCAATATATTATTCAATACCAAAGGTGAAGTTCAAAGATGAAGTGTGTGCATAATCTATTAATAAAATAAGCTCTCATTTGTAGCTGGTTTCCACAATAATTTGGTCAAATATGACTTGATTCTGATGAAACTTTGTCAACATCTTAACTAATAGCAAAATCTGCCAATCAATTATTGGCAATAGGGGTAAATGTAAATTTCTGTTTTTAACATTTGAACTATGGACAAAGGGAGGAATTCCTATGCAAATCAATTATATAAAGGTCTAAAAGGATATATTCTAGAGGTCAAACTCGGTACCCCTCCTCTGCCAACCCTATGAAGATATATATTTATACACACAAGAAGAATATTTTTCATAAAAATAGGATTCATAACAAAAGTACAACAAAATAGTTCACAAATGCCTGGTGTCATGCGTGTCAATTTCAGTCCATAAACTCTTCACAAGCTATAACCTGAACTAAATTCTTTGAACATCATTACAATTCCGTTAATCCTTCTGTACAATATCAATGAGCTTTATTTTGTTCCCCATTCCAAAAATACCATATTTATATCCTTGTCTGTCTTTTGCCTTAGCTGTTTAGAACTCCTGTAGATTTACTTTAACGTTTAAATTTCAATATTTTTTGCCCCCATCATCAGATTGTGGGCTGTTCCATTTGCTCTTCCTGCATGGCCCATCTTCTGTCCTTACACAATTCTTGTTATTATTATTTCTCAAGAATTACCAGGTAAACCGCATATGTCTGTTCTTGAAGTCCTTAGTCATGTATATTTCATTTTGATAATAGGAAAAACCAAGATGGCTGCTAGATGGCTATCTCAGATTTTGACAGTGAAAAGTTGTTATCGCCGTTTCTCAAGAAGTGATGGACAGATCTTCCTCAAATATCATATACCCAGTAGAAATGTACATTCTCTTTGGTCCTTTGTTGTGTATGCTTCATTACATCCCCCACCCCCGAAATTTGTTATTCCAAGACCATATAACCCGCCACTTTGTCCGGTCCATAGGCAAATTGTAACTGGAGTAGCAGACTCAACCTTGGACCCAAGGTAATCATTTTTTCAAAATAAAGAAAATGAAATAGAACTAGAAAATGAAAACAGATGCAGGTATTTGGAGATTTTTTCAATTTTATTTTCATGACAAACATTCCTTTCCCATGGTTAACAGTTGTGCAATCAATATACAGACAGATAATGGTCAGGCCCACACATGTAAAGATAAGGTACATACTAATCACAGCATAATAAGTTAGTGTATGTATATACAACATGGAACTCTCTACAAATAGAAAACAAGGAATGTGTATGATGAGTCACTTGCTCACCCCTTACAGGTCACAATGAACTCTCCCAACAAGTACAAGTTGGGTAGGTCCATTGTGAAATGTAGGAGAAGAAAAGACAGATGGACAAACCCAAAAGATGGATAAGGTTAGATATGTATTGACATCACTTTGGTATATACTAGAGTATCAACGAGAGGTTATATTTTATAATATTACAACCTTGTCAAAGACTACTCGCACAGTAATACATCTAACAAATGTGGCTATGAAAGACGAGTAGGTTCTGCTGTCTTCGTAACAAAGTCATTCAGGTAGGATTAAAACTATTAAATACAATTTTTTTATGGTTATACAATTTCTAGTCAAATTTTACATTTTTTCTACTTATTTCATTCATTTTCCTAAATAAATACAACAAACTGATTATTATAGATAAAAACAATACATGACCTCTAACACTCTTTCTATCATTCCCTAAAACAAAACTATCATGTCTATCATGTATCCTGGTAGACAGGCAAATGTTTTTCTTTTTTCGCTTGTAGAAGATTTATTTCCCTTAAAAAAGACTGGCCTATTTTACTGTTTTTCAGTGAGGCTATACCAGACAAAGTAGCTAATAATGATCAAGGATGATGTGAAAATTCTGAATGGAATTTTTTAGACATGAAACACGGGATGGGATTGTAACGAATGCATCTAAGATATTGTATTCTGCATCATAAACAGATAATAGGTTCTTTGAATGGATTTGGCGTTTTTCTATTTCCACCTGTAGGTGACCTTGTGTATGATGCCTTTGACTAGGCTAGCTATGAAAATCTGAAGCTGGATTATTTTTACCACAAGATGAACATCAAGCTTGAACATTGTCACTTTTAATATCAGATCACGGAGTAGCGTTGAAATGTATATTTTCTGAGCTGGTCAATTTCTTGTTTCACAATAGGTAGGGTTTCATCATGCACATGTCATCGTTCTATTTATAGTAACTTGATATATGTTAACACAGCTACAATCTATTTATAGGAACCTGATGTATGGTCAGCACAGCTTAGATCTATTAATAGCAACCTAATGTATGTAACACATGCCAATGATCTATTTATAGTAATATGATCTATTTTTAACACATTCTTTTCGGTTTTCAAACTAAACAATACTATGTAATTATCGACAAGGACACATCGTCTATTGGACTGGCTATATAGTTCTGTAGTGGCCAAAATGTCTTCTACAGGTGTTTGTGATGGATTTCACCGGCAGATCACAAATCTTTCACTGTATTTCACCCTGATATTGGATACAGACGTCAGGAGTTTGTCCTCCCATATATGACTACAACACATGTTCACAGATGGCGCTGTTTGATATTTAGTAGGTACAGAAGATCTACTTCTTTATAAATTCTTCCTCCTCTAACATTTCGTAGTGACCTGTTCAGAAAAAATGATAAAAAAATTTTTGTTAAATTATTTGTCTTATTGTGAAATACAATAATAATAAAACTGTAAAATTGTAAATATCTTTCCAAGGAGAAAAACATCCTAGAACTGTCATTGACATTTCCGTACCATTGTAATCCCATCGTAATATCATTCTCTCTGTATTTTTACATTTTCATTGCATATTTGATTTTGTTTCAAAGTATTAATTACCATTTCATATAAAATAAAACTTGTTTTTTAAGAACACATTAACCATAAATACAAATGTTCGTTTATCAGTATGAAATAAACTGTTTGCTTAAACAAAAACACCAAAAGAGAACATTAGTAAAATGGTGAGAATGAGCTTTATCACCGAAAAAACGTTTATCATGATAAACAAGAGGCCCATGGGCCTAAACGGTCACCTGAGTCTACAGTATTTATTTTTGTTGTTGAAATATGTACCAATTTGAGTAAAATAGTATAATGTTAACTTAACTTTGTCAGGACCATGAGCTGATCATTCCTAGACCAATTTTAAGTGAGATCGGCCTATTAGAACTTAGTAGCAAAATAGCGGCCATGGCAGCCAAATTGTATTTCTGATTGACCCGAAAAATAACAACACTTTGTCAGGACCATGATTCGATCATTCCTACAAAGTTTCAGTTCAATCGGCCAAGTAGAACTTTACTTTAAGTTTGAAATAGTTTTTCAAAATGGCAGCCGTGGTGGCCATATTGGATTTCTGATCGACCCGAAAAATAACAACACTTTGTCAGGACCATGAGTCAATCATTCCTACAAAGTTTCAGTTCAATCGGCCTAGCAGAACTTGACTTTAAGTTTGAAATAGTTTTTCAAAATGGCGGACGTGGCGGCCATATTGGATTTCTGAACGACCCGAAAAATAACAACACTTTGTCAGGACCATGAGTCGATCATTCCTACAAACTTTCAGTTCAATCGGCCCAGCAGAACTTGACTTTAAGTTTGAAATAGGTTTTCAAAATGGCGGCCGTGGCGGCCATATTGGATTTCTGATCGACCCGAAAAATAACAACACTTTGTCAGGACCATGAGGCGATCATTCCTACCAACTTTCAGTTCAATCGGTCCAGCAGAACTTGACTTTAAGTTTGAAATAGGTTTTCAAAATGGCGGCCGTGGCGGCCATATTGGATTTCTGATCGACCCGAAAAATAACAACACTTTGTCAGGACCATGAGGCGATCATTCCTACCAACTTTCAGTTCAATCGGTCCAGCAGAACTTGACTTTAAGTTTGAAATAGGTTTTCAAAATGGCGGCCGTGGCGGCCATATTGGATTTCTGATCGACCCGAAAAATAACAACACTTTGTCAGGACCATGAGGCGATCATTCCTACCAACTTTCAGTTCAATCGGCCCAGCAGAACTTGACTTTAAGTTTGAAATGTAAAATGTTAACGGACGACGGACGACGACGGACGAAAACGGATAGCAATAGGTCACTTGAGCTAAAGCTCAGGTGAACTAATAAAAGTTATAAATCAACCAAAATCAAAACATCTCAAAGGTATTATAACTTTAGGTCATTAATAGTAAGATAAAAAACACTTTATAATTATAAATTAAATTTATAAATCGATCATAACCAAAACACTGTAACAAGTATTATAAGTAATTTTCAGCCGTTAATAGTGAGTAAAAGCTGATTGTGTTGAAAATGAAATTGAGTAAAAAAATAATAATTCAGAACTGCATTAACTACTGTATTGGAATGATATCTCAATCAGCACAGTTTTGAGTCGAGGATAACGTGTTGGCCCTGGGCTTACTGCATAATAAACACGATAATAATCTTCAGATTAGACCATTTAGTATGGTTTAGCAATACAGAGTTCCTTCCCCTTCATTTTCAAAATCAACGTCAAATACAGTTATAATGTCAATTTCCAATTCATGCACCCGCTTGCTTAGCATCACCTGTAATTGTAATTTGCCGATTTAGTGTCATTTTTATTATTATGTCATCCACTGATTAAGTAAAGATCAACTGTCAATAAAGACAGCTAGAGTCACTAATATATGTACTACCTACCTGTTAATATGAAAACATTAATCATACAGCAAATATATATCAGATGTAGTAGATAAATCCTGTTTTATAATTGCCATGCATACACATACTTGGACAGTCATACCTGTCTATAAAGACCACCTGTCTACTATATGGAATCATTTCAAGGGATTATTTTATCCTGGGACAAACAAAACACCAACATGCGGAGAGTAGGAAAATGGTGTATGAAGTATAAACAGATATGGGGACTTCATACACTAAAGGATGTGGAGACCACTTAATTATATACGAGACTACATAGATAAGTGGATATACAGAAGGAAATAGACATCAACGACAGATTTCAACTGAACATAATCGAGGAAGTACAGTACAAAAAAAAATCTTTTTTCTTTACATGATGCAGTTTTCACAATTTCATGAAAATGGAGTTTGCATGGACAAATTTAAAGTTTCAAAATTGTTTGGTATTTAGAGCTACTATGCTAGAAATATTCTGATCATAATGAATTATCTAACTCACCATTTTATGAAAACTGTAAAAGTAATTACTCCCAAGAAAATTAACCCATACACAGTAAACTGTGTTATACACCATTATTTTTTTTATTTTTTTTACTGACATGTCAAATTGCTAGCTGTAGCAATCAAAAAAAAAAGAGCACAGGCTGATAGAATGCAAAACATTTAGATAAAATAAATAAATATTAAAAGTGTTTCATCATTCCAGCAAGTTGTATGTTATTGTGGTTTAGTGATGTTAGATAACATTCAGATAGAAAATGTTCTTACCAAAATGTACAGTTGTTTTGTAATCCATTTATGTAGAAATTCGCAAAAAAGCTTATGTCTATACACACTTTGTGTGAACAAGCAAACACTACTTGTAACTGCTTAGAGACTGGAATGTGTCTGAGTAAGTTCAAGTAGATGTCGTGTTCAGGTGCGGGTGAGAAATATATAATAGGCCAGTATGTAAAGCATGAAAAACAGGGCGTAGCGTCGCTCTGAAAAGGAACAAGGTTTCTGATGGTTATATTGGTAAGAATTCTTCGTGCATTATGCATGACATTAAGCTTTGCATTTTATGATCCCCTTTATCCTGATGTAGCTGTGGGAACCGTAGCTCAAGGTGCAATTGATTTTTTTTTTATTGATTTTTTTTAGATATTTTGAAAGTTTATATTATCGGACAAAATTTTAAAATACAATGTCTAACATTTTGAAATTTTACATTATCTGACCAAATATCAGAATATAATATCTCAAATTTTAAAACAAAATAGATTTGATGATTCCTTGAGCTAAATGCTGATTGTACCCCCCTGTCTGCCTGTCCTGATGCTGTGGGGAACACACAGTCCTACAAGTTTATCAGTAGTGTGTTTGTACTTGAAGGACAATACATACATAAATGTTCATAAAATATCCAATCCCTGTTTTGGTGTGTCATGGTTCAAAAGCTAACAGATTATCTCCCCTTATATGTATCTGTTTAGGACCTATGTGTTGATTCTACCCAAGGATGAGGAATTTGAATCAGAACTGAAGCTTGTAAGCAACTTCCGTGAATTTACAGAAAATGCAACTGCATAGCAACAATATTGTTGATAGACGCCACATGTTTCATGCAGGGTGGCATTAGTGGGGACTATGTGGGCGTGATAGGTGGTGTTAGTGGTGTGGAGTGTGGGTGTGGTGGTTTTAGTGGTGTGGGTAGTTTGGGAGAACAGACAGGCAGACGGAAAGGTACAAATGACTAGAGCACAAGGATTGAACAACTTAGGACTTGGTTTCTCTAGACTCCATATATAATATTCTGTATACATGTATAGGCCCATGTTCATTTATATAAATATAATTATGTACAGAGTTCTAAATATAGAAGCTACAAACTTTCTTTTATACAAATGAGAAATAGCCATCTCATTATCTGCAGAAAGAAATATTTAATAATTTTTAGCTAGATTAAACTTATTGTTTTTCAGTTATATACTCATACACTTAGGAAAGGTTCACTGTGAATAACTTACATCTTCAACAAATGGCCAATATCACCTCCAGAAATACTGACACTGTTTCATATCATATTGAAAGGTCTTCTTCGCAATGATGCTTACCTGAGTGTTGAACAACCTCGCCTTCATGCATCCAGCGAACATTGGCCTGCTTAGCGGCTCGGACTTTCACCATCAACTCAACCTCACTGTGTTCAGGAATTGCGGCTGAATTTGCGGGGATGATGACCTCAGGTCCATGATGGTCATGGTGACGATGACGCACCGCACCAGCTAAGTCGGTGGTTTCCTTGGCAACGTGTCTTGCTGTGACCTCCACAATTTGTATTCTACTGTCTAATGTACTCGATGTAACACTACAATATAAATGAAGTAGAATTTTATTCATAAAACATCAACATACAATTGTACAAAACTTTTTCTATAATTAATTTTATAATAAAAACAAGAGGCCCAGAGGGCCTGTATCGCTCACCTGTTTCTTTTGTTACATGAAACTGACATATAGATAGCTTAAGACCAAATTTGGTAACTAGAAAAAAAGACATTTTAACATCTCTTAAACGGTTCTGAAGATAATTATTGTTGTTTAAAATTTGAAATTTTAATTTTAAAGTATTAAACCCACATTGACCTTTGACTCCTGCCCTTGCACTTAAAGTTGACCTTTGACCCTATTACTGTAATAAAGAAAACAATTCACACTGCTGGTCTTCATAACATACCCAAGTATCATGAATCTAGTCCAAACGGTTCTTAGGATATTGTTGTTTGAAGTTTTAACATATTTGACCCCAGTGACCTTGAAAGTAGGTCAATGTCATTTTAATGAAACTTTACAGCAATCCATCCCAGGTACCTACTGGCCAAATATCATGACCCTAGATCCTCCAATTCTTCTTCAGAAGTCGTTCAAAAGAAAAAGTTGCCAGGTGAGCTAACAATTCTTTAAATGAAATTCTCGTTAATAAAGTCACCACTTATCCGGTTGCCCTGGTTGTCCCACTATCCAGCAAGTGTTTTAGGGGACACCAAACTATATAGCAATGTTTTCCTGAGGTAGATTAATTCCTTAGTCCCCTGGGATTTCCTATAAATGCATTTACTGTATACGGTATACCGTGAAACTTTCCTATAAAATCCATGTTCGCTCAGTTTTAACTTCGCCCTTCACGTGTAATTACAATATATTGCATGTTGTTTGCTGTCATGATAAATTCAGTCTTATTTGGGAGGGGAAAAGGAGAAAGTTAAAATGAGGCAAAAAAATCCAGTATTTAGTATATTAGCAATGATATTTTTTCTTAAATTTGGGAACTCTAGCGGGTATAGCCGCTTCAATATCTAAATACTGCTTTAATCCTGATTTTGTATTGCCTGTATGTTAAACTGGGGCTTCAATAGTTTATGATTCCATTTTCATGTTGCGTATATAGTTTATCAGAGATACTTTAAGATATTGTACACAAACCTTGTTTCTTGTGATTGACTTAGTGTTTCGTTTAGCTTGGTGACGGAAGTCTCCAGTTCCTCAAGTACTTGTACGGTAGACTCTGAAATAACATGTTAAATTCACACTCAATTTCCTTGGTTAAACATTCAAGTAGTCTTCCCAAGAACATTGTGTAAAAACAAAATGTTTTAAATGATAACAGTCTCTCAATATCATATCACTTCACTTTGATAAGAAAATCCATTAACTTATTTTAAAATCATAGGACAAGAAACACAGGTCAACACTCAATATAAACAGACACAAGTGTATACATTTTATAAGATTAAATTTTATGTCCATGCATTACTAAAAGAATTTAATCATAATTGACTAAACAAGCACCTGTAATCACACAAATGTAAGTTCAAATTACAGTAAATTATCAGTGATAAGCCCATGCTCAATTATAAGCCCATCAGAATTTCTGCTTATCTCTGATTTTACTCTTTTTCAATAGTCCATTGCTCAGAAATAAGCCCACCACATGTTCTGTAGTATTGCTATTCTATTTACCAGATACAAGTCTGTGGTCAGATATAAGCCCACCCCTTGTACTGTAGTATTGCTATTCTATTTACCAGAGACAAGTCTGTGGTCAGAAATAAGCCCAACCCTCGTTCTGTAGTATTGCTATTCTATTTACCAGATACGAGTCTGTGGTCAGATATAAGCCCACCCCTTGTTCTTTAGTATTGCTATTCTATTTACCAGATACAAGTCTGTGGTCAGAAATAAGCCCACCTCTTGTTCTGTAGCCTTGCTATTCTATTTACCAGATACAAGTCTGTGGTCAGAAATAAGCCCAACCCTCGTTCTGTAGTATTGCTATTCTATTTACCAGATACAAGTCTGTGGTCAGAAATAAGCCAACCCCTTGTTCTGTAGTATTGCTATTCTATTAACAAGATACAAGTCTGTGGTCAGAAATAAGCCCCCCCCCCCCCCCCCCCCCCCTCTCTCTCTTTTTCAATAGACCATTGCTCAGAAATAAGCCCACCCCTGATCAGTAGAATTGCCATTCTATTGACCAGATACAAGTTCATGCTCTGTCAGCCCACTCCCTTGTCCAGAAGACATGATATTCTATTTACCAGATACAAGGTCATCCTCTGTAAGCCCACTCCCTTGTCCAGAAGACATGATATTCTATATACCAGATACAAGGTCATGCTCTGTAAGCCCACTCCCTTGTCCAGAAGACATGATATTCTATATACCAGATACAAGGTCATGCTTTGTAAGCCCACTCCCTTGTCCAGAAGACATGATATTCTACTTACCAGATACAAGTTCATGCTCTGTAAGCCCATTCCCTTGTCCAGAAGACATGATATTCTATTTACCAGATCCAAGTTCATGCTCTGTCAGCCCACTCCCTTGTCCAGAAGACATGATATTCCATTTACCAGATACAAGGTCATCCTCTGTAAGCCCACCCCCTTGTCCAGAAGACATGATATTCTATTTACCAGATCCAAGTTCATGCTCTGTCAGCCCACTCCCTTGTCCAGAAGACATGATATTCCATTTACCAGATACAAGGTCATCCTCTGTAAGCCCACCCCCTTGTCCAGAAGACATGATATTCTATTTACCAGATACAAGTTCATGCTCTGTAAGCCCTCTCCCTTGTCCAGAAGACATGATATTCTATATACCAGATACAAGGTCATGCTTTGTAAGCCCACTCCCTTGTCCAGAAGACATGATATTCTATATACCAGATACAAGGTCATGCTCTGTAAGCCCACTCCCTTGTCCAGAAGACAATGTATTCTATTTACCAGATACAAGGTCATGCTCTGTCAGCCCACTCCCTTGTCCAGAAGACATGATATTCTACTTACCAGATACAAGTTCATGCTCTGTAAGCCCATTCCCTTGTCCAGAAGACATGATATTCTATTTACCAGATACAAGTTCATGCTCTGTAAGCCCACTCCCTTGTCCAGAAGACAATGTATTCTATTTACCAGATACAAGGTCATGCTCTGTAAGCCCCCTTCCTCGTCCAGAAGACATGATATTCTATTTACCAGATACAAGCCCATGCTCTGTAAGCCCACTGCCTTGTCCAGAAGACATGATATTCTATTTACCAGATACAAGCCCATGCTCTGTAAGCCCACTGCCTTGTCCAGAAGACATGATATTCTATTTACCAGATCCAAGTTCATGCTCTGTCAGCCCACTCCTTTGTCCAGAAGACATGATATTCTATTTACCAGATACAAGGTTATGCTCTGTAAGCCCACTCCCTTGTCCAGAAGACATGATATTCTACTTACCAGATACAAGTTCATGCTCTGTAAGCCCATTCCCTTGTCCAGAAGAAATGATATTCTATTTACCAGATACAAGGTCATGCTCTGTAAGCCCACTTCCTCGTCCAGAAGACATGATATTCTATTTACCAGATACAAGTTCATGCTCTGTAAGCCCACTCCCTTGTCCAGAAGACATGATATTCTATTTACCAGATCCAAGTTCATGCTCTGTCAGCCCACTCCCTTGTCCAGAAGACATGATATTCTATTTACCAGATACAAGGTCATGCTCTGTAAGCCCACTCCCTTGTCCAGAAGACATGATATTCTGTTTACCAGATACATGTTCATGCTCTGTAAGCCCACTCCCTTGTCCAGAAAACATGATATTCTATTTACCAGATAAAAGTTCATGCTCTGTAAGCCCACTCCCTTGTCCAGAAGACATGATATTCTATTTACCAGATACAAGTTCATGCTCTGTAAGCCCATTCCCTTGTCCAGAAGACAATGTATTCTATTTACCAGATACAAGGTCATGCTCTGTAAGCCCATTCCCTTGTCCAGAAGACATGATATTCTGTTTACCAGATACATGTTCATGCTCTGTAAGCCCACTCCCTTGTCCAAAAGACATGATATTCTATTTACCAGATACAAGTTCATTCTCTGTAAGCCCACTCCCTTGTCCAGAAGACGTGATATTCTATTTACCAGATACAAGGTCATGCCCTGTAAGCCCACTCCCTTGTCCAGAAGACATAATATTCTATTTACCAAATACAAGGTCATGCTCTGTAAGCCCACTCCCCTGTCCAGAAGACATGATATTCTATTTACCAGATACAAGGTCATGCCCTGTAAGCCCACTCCCTTGTCCAGAAGACATGGTATTCTATTTACCAGATACAAGTTCATGCTCTGTAAGTCCACTCCCTTGTCCAGAAGACATGATATTCTGGTTACCAGATACATGTTCATGCTCTGTAAGCCCGCTCCCTTGTCCAGAAAACATGATATTCTATTTACCAGATAAAAGTTTATGCTCTGTAAGCCCACTCCCTTGTCCAGAAAACATGATATTCTATTTACCAGATAAAAGTTTATGCTCTGTAAGCCCACTCCCTTGTCCAGAAGACGTGATATTCTATTTACCAGATACAAGGTCATGCCCTGTAAGCCCACTCCCTTGTCCAGAAGACATGGGATTCTATTTACCAGATACAAGTTCATGCTCTGTAAGTCCACTCCCTTGTCCAGAAGACATGATATTCTGGTTACCAGATACATGTTCATGCTCTGTAAGCCCCCTCCCTTGTCCAGAAGACATGATATTCTATTTACCAAATACAAGGTCATGCTCTGTAAGCCCACTCCCCTGTCCAGAAGACATGATATTCTATTTACCAGATCAAGGTTCATGCTCTGTAAGCCCACTCCCTTGTCCAGAAAACATGATATTCTATTTACCAGATAAAAGTTTATGCTCTGTAAGCCCACTCCCTTGTCCAGAAGACATAATATTCTATTTACCAAATACAAGGTCATGCTCTGTAAGCCCACTCCCTTGTCCAGAAGACATAATATTCTATTTACCAAATACAAGGTCATGCTCTGTAAGCCCACTCCCCTGTCCAGAAGACATGATATTCTATTTACCAGATCAAGGTTCATGCTCTGTAAGCCCACTCCCTTGTCCAAAAGACATGATATTCTATTTACCAGATACAAGTTAATGCTCTGTAAGCCCACTCCCTTGTCCAGAAGACATGGTATTCTATTTACCAGTGATGAACTAACACACAGTCTTTAATTGACCCCCTGTGATTGATATTAAGGTTTACAAATGAAGGTCCGACTGGAAAACAAGTCCAGTACCTGTGTATCCCTCTGTAGTTATCATAGATACAAACAGTGCAGTTGTTCTAAAGAAATGAAATGAAACCATGTATTCGGAAGCCCTTTAAGTATAATGTCATTTGAAGCCATGTTTCATTTTTCTTGATCAAAGAAAAGTTAAGATGATGCTAATTTACTGCAATTGAGAGTGATGGTCTCTAAGGACTTAGGAATACATGCAGATATGAATATTTTAAAGAAAAGTGCTCAAGAAATAATAGTGATTTAGCCAAGAGTACTTTTTTCATTATGGTTTGTCACTCAAAATGTTACAAAACTTGTGTGTTGTAGTGAGATGGAGCAGGAAAGAAGATCAGGTGATGTCAATCAATGGGAAATTAAGGTGAAAACCACACATGAGTGATCCCAGAATTAGGAAATCTTACCACTGGGAAATGAGTTGGTGATTCGGAATGTTGTACTAATCTAGGTTTTATTTAGGATTCAGTCAAGTGGGATACAAGGAAACAATTAAAGTGAAATTTAGTTAAAAAGATGTTTTCATCTACCAAAAAATGGCATCAGGTCAGTCAAAAGGAAATCTTCGAGCAGAGAAAGTAAAATGAAGCCTTACTGTTTACGTCTGTGATAGTGTTTGCCGCACCCTGGGACAATCTCTCCACTGATTGCTCACCTGCTGCTGACACAGACTCTGAAGTGACCTTGGTGACCTTGACCTCTTCCTTAGTTTCCTTCACTTCCTGTGTGGCTGTCACTTCTGATTTTGTTTCAGCAACCTTTACAGACTCCGATACCTTGGATTCGACGGAACCATCAACCACATCCTGTTCAGCTTTTTCCTCTGTAAATGTTTATAAGAATGAGTTTTGATAATATATTTATATATCTCTCGACATGTTCACCATAAGGATAAATACATGTATGCTTTCATCTCAACATGAGTTTTGAATATACTTTTCTAGCTACATTATGTATTAATAAATTATTGTTATGAAAATACTCAATAGTATATAATAACACAGTATAAATCATAAATATGATATAGATTTACATTTAAGTACTTGATGCTGAAATAAAAAGCAATATCAAATAAATCATTTTTGTGCAATATTACGATGCAAACAAGCTCTAGCGCAGAAACAATGCATTCAAATGATGTAACATATTAACAAGCATGCCTTAAAAATCACTTGGTAAGTGTTTGACATGATACATTTTATTTCCATATTTTCTTAAGCATATTCTTGTATTTCAAACCTTTTCATTCTACAGTCAAAATACCTTAATTGTGTAGCCTGAGTTTTATTTCTTTTCTGTGTGCAAATTTAACATTCAACAATCATACCTACTCCACTTTTGAACAGTCACAGTTGCACAACCTTCGACCAATCATAATTTCTGTACTTTTGACCAATCATAATTTGCTACTTTTGACCAATCATAATTTTAGTACTTTTGACCAATCACAGTTACACTACTTTTGACAAATCACAGTTACACTATTTTTAACCAATCACACTAACTTTGACCAATCACAGTTGCACTACTTTTGACCAATCATAATTTGCTACTTTTGACCAATCATAATTTTAGTACTTTTGACCAATCACAGTTACACTACTTTTGACAAATCACAGTTACACGACTTTTAACCAATCACACTAACTTTGACCAATCTAAGTTGCACTACTTTTGACCAATCATCATTTTAGTACTTTTGACCAATCATAATTTCTGTACTTTTGACCAATCACAGTTACACTACTTTTGACCAATCACAGTTACACGACTTTAAACCAATCTGCTGGCAATCACACTAACTTAGTTGCACTACTTTTAATGAATCATAATTATATTCCCTTTGATCAATCATATTTACACCACTTTTCACCAATCAGTTGCACCACTTATCAAAATGGAAGTCATGCAAACATTTTAATTATGATCAACTGTTAAAACAAGATGTCTTACTTTAAGTTTAAATTGCATGCTTTGAAGAAATGTTTGCTATGTTTGAATGACTAGAATGTAAAAATGTTCAACAACAACACCTTATCTAAAAACTATGAATAAAGACACCATTGAAGTACAAATCTAACACATCAATACATCACGATAATTTCAAAGTGAACCAACACATGTTAAATGATATCCTTTCAGGTCACAATAAAAATGGTACAAACACTTATGGAACTAGTGCACAGTGTTTTACAGTATTACACAATAGAGTGTACTCCACTTAATGTCAATGTGCTTAATGTCACGTTTTTGGTTAATATCATGTTTTCATTTAAAACTAATTTTCAATTACATCTTATATGTTATTTAATTTATTTGTTTTTCTTTCCATGTGATTTTATTACAAAGAGCTACATTTATGTACATTTGCTTACACTTTATCGTAAAGTGCTTTATTTGCAACATAAAAAAATGTTTGGTGTCACATTTTGCTTAATATCACATTTTTCTTTGGACACATTTTCATGACAATAAGAGGAATATACTAATTAACTTGTGACACAAACTACTCAATGTATTAACACTAATACTAGACTAGTGCATTCTGAAACCACTCCAATAGAATCACTGACAACACCTCCACACCACCGACTTTCTCACCCAAATCACCATCGACAGTCTCTTTCACCATCCCCAGGTCCCTTATCATGGTCCCATGGTCAAGTTCTATGTCCCTATCGTCTGGTACTGCCTTCTCTAGATCCTTCACCAATGTCCCATCACTAGAGCGTGCATCATCTATGTATTCCTTGCCATGAGCGCTGTTGAGGGTTTGGGTAAAATCTTCTTCAGATTCTGACAAGTACTCGTAAGAATAGGTATCTTCACCAGATTCTTCATCAGGGCCAGAGTTGATAAGGAAATTAAAGTTTATGGGTTTGACAGGAGATTCAGGGTGACCGGAGATCGTACAATCCTTATCTTCCTCAGTAGTCAATGTACCACTACCCTGGAGTATTTCCTTCAAGTCCATGTTCCTTACGATACCATGATTTGTTTCCAAATCCTCTATTGTTTCAAAGCCATTTTCCATCTCTTCTGATCTAGCATTGTCTTCTTCTTGGTTTTGAATCAACAAGGACCTAATTCCCTCCTGGTGGACAGATGAGGTGAGGGACCTAATTCCCTCCTCGTGGACAGATGAGGTGAGGGACCTAACTCTCTCCTCGTGGACAGATGAGGTGGGGGACCTAATTCCCTCCTCGTGGACAGATGAGGTGGGGGACCTAATTCCCTCCTCGTGGACAGATGAGGTGGGGGACCTAACTCCCTCCTCGTGGACAGATGAGGTGGGGGACCTAACTCCTTCCTCATGGACAGATGAGGTGGGGGACCTAACTCCCTCTTCATGGACAGATGAGGTGGCTTCTGCTGAAGAGTTAGACTCTGTCGTTCCATTCTCCAAATATTCCGCACCATTACTGTTGTTCATGTCCAAGTTCATTATTTCTGTACTGTCATCCTGGTCAGAACTCATCGTCATAGTAACAACATATTCCTCTTCTTCATTGACTGGTTCAATGTTGCTAGCATTGGAGTGTGCATGTTGGACGACAGACTCCTCATCATTGAAAATGTTATCAGCTGGAAAGGTTACAAATATGATCATACTTTAGTTAATATATATAATAACCCTTTTTCTTAGCTATACATTTTTTGTTTGATTTTGATTTTCTACGCAGAAAACCTCAACACCTTTCATGGCCAATTTACTGTGACACATTGCATACAATTGACTGTAAAATTTGTCACTATGCCACAAAATCTGAAACCTTGTTCAGAATACTTTTCAATCATTTTACTCGATATACAATTTAAGTAATTATATGTCAAACTTTAAGTTTGAACTTGGGCTTATCACAAACAGTGACCTTAATGCCACTGATGGTATTTGCATTAAAACAATAATACCCACATTTCTGAATATTGACGAATATCAATTTCCACATGATTATCTCTAACTAGTGGATTAAGAAATAAGGAAAAGAAATTCACTTAACCACAGACACCATATTACTATATTAGACAGAACATCCACATGCTAAACAATTCAAACAGACAGCTTTATCTAACAATTTCTACATATCTACTCCATACAGAGAGTCCTATAGGCTGTGTCTCGGTGCTGAAATGATATAAGCCCTTGAGCTTATAATTTTCCTAGAAAACAGAACACACAACATACACTATCTGAAAGTAGTGCACTTATCAAATTCACAATTTCTACACACATTTATTACACATTCATTTGACTCACGACAGACAGGAAGACTTAAGTAACAGTGCTAACTACATACAAAGAATCTACAAGAACTATCTCCAAAACTACGATCCTACATGACCGACATTGATTTATAGACATATACATGTAACGTTCAATGTTGGACATGGAAAGCCGATCTATTTATAGCTGTGAAAGCAACATCCCCAAAATGCAATAATTGAAATGACTGAAGCAAAGAGAAGCTGCAAATTACAATCGATATTCCACACTTTAAATGATCCAAAATATTGACATTCAATCCCACAGGTGCAAAAATCGTGTAGATTAGTTGCTAATGCTGTACATGTATATACATTGCTAACAAAAAGCATCTTAGGGAAAATATTGAAGCTACTTACTTATTTTATTGAAATAACAAAAACCAATGCGGTATTATTGCATTCATGAAAAACAACTACTTGAAAAACAAAGGTGGCTATTTTTTAGATATGCAATAAAATACAGAGACTGGACACTGTCATAAGCCTAGCTCATTTCCCCCTTATCAATCATACCATATTTTACTGGAAATAAGACACGGGGGATTCTGAAAAGACTTTTTCTTAAACCTGAATTTCTCTATAAAGAAAATACTGCTAGAGTAAAGACAAATATCAATTACACTTAGGAACGTCAGAGAAAACTGCGATCTTAACTTCTTCAGGAATTTCTAATGGTTGCTTGAACTAACTGGCACCTCCAAATTAAATTGTTATATAAGATAATTTCCCACTTTGAACGTAGTATAGATGCTTGTAGTACTAAACAACATATCATACTTATTGAAGCCTGTGATTTGTTTTAACTTTTTATTTTACAAGAAAGGTTAAATCAACTCAAGCACACGTGACAGAACAGGACTGTACTTATTGCCTGGACCAAGTAGCTTGTTTTGTTAGAGAGTCGTCTAGAGTTCAGAGGTCCCAAGCTCAAATCCCGTTCTTGACGCTGCATTTTTCGTTTTATATTACATTTGGCACCAAACATGGGACCAGCAACCAACCCTGTCCAGTTACAGTCCGTTACACAACTGTGCCCTTTTTACTAACAGGGATTTCTTTCAGATATATTGTAATACAATCTTATAATCAGTTGAATATGGGGGATGGACTTAACGTTACCGATATCCCTATTAGAAGTAAAATATGGTACAGTTGATAGGCAGAATAAGGATATATGCTACCTCAAACAATATATCTGTGATCTTTGCTAGAGAAATATCATTTTTTATTTCGTCAGCATCACCCATGCATCCTGATGTGCTATCTTACACATTATATTTGTGACTGGAGTGAGAGTTATCTCCCTTACAAATTTGATTGGCAATTTTTAATAATGCTGTATCACCTGTTATCATGCAATGATGCATCCTTGTGTACGGATGTAACGAGTTAATATACACTGTATACTGAATACAGGGTAATTTTTCACAGCAGTGTTGTTTTTTAAATATATTTGAGGTATAAAGAACCTGCGAATTCATCATGACAGTTAATATTACTAGTGAAGCAATACTAGATACCCAACAATCTAAAAACAGTTCTAGTCATAATTCAATGTACCCGTATCTCAAAACCGTCAAATTCAACACTGTAAATAGTTTGAAGGTAGCACCAAAAAGTAACACTGTGTGAATCAGTGCTGTATACATTGAACTGTTTTCTAAGTGTGAACTCTTTTGTAATGGAAATAGACAATCACAGTAAGGTAGTATATATCCTTAAGCTGGCTTCTAACAACTCCAAGGTTGAGTAGCAGGTCACCAGGGGAGACAGTGAAGCTGTGCGGCAGACAGGCCTGCACTAACAGTGTTACCTATGACAACGGGGTATCCTTCAGCCAGTATCGTTATATCCTTAACATACGTGTCCCATGTGTAACTGTCTGCAACATGTTACACAACATATTATAATGCCACGCCCACCATGCCAAATCCTTCATCAACAGTGTTATTTCAGTGAACTTATAATTCCTGTCAGTATAACTTTTTCGAACAGTTAATTATGGCAGCATATTTAGTTTCTGCCATTGACTTTCGACTTATAAGTCAACATTACTTTTAGAAATGTCAACATAATTTACACGTTATTGCGACATTCTGTTAAGCAGGTTATTTTTGCAGGAGTGTTATTTTTGCAATTACACAGGTCAATTTCAATCGCAAAAATATGATCCTCAGAATGATAAGACGAGTGTAAAACTGAGATGTGAAAATAAATTCTTAACCGTGATGTCTTCATGAAATAATGCTCAAGTGGTTGTAACAATTCATAAACATGAAAATAGATCATACCACACACAGTTTTGCTTATGATTTTTTGCTCAGTTTGCTGTAATACATGTAGATCTATACGACACTTTATAAGCCAAGTGTCCCCTCTCTATGCCTAGTGTCCCGTCTCTATGCCTAGTGTCCCGTCTCTATGCCTAGTGTCCCGTCTCTATGCCAAGTGTCCCGTCTCTATGCCAAGTGTCCCGTCTCTATGCCTAGTGTCCCGTCTCTAAGCCAAGTGTCCCGTCTCTATGCCTAGTGTCCCGTCTCTATGCCAAGTGTCCCGTCTCTATGCCTAAACACCACGGAAATTTAGGTCCTTCAAATATGTCCAGATCGCAAAATTGAAATCCGTTTAAATTTAATTATTTAATTTTAAGTCAAAAAAGTGAAAAATTTAAGCCTGCATAAATAACCTGTTATACAGTATTCATATTTATGTCAACATCTCAGATCCTGTTGACATCTTATCAAAATGATGTCGAAAAACGCAACAATGAATTAAATATGCCACCACTGTAAATATAGTAACAAATCAATCCCATAAACCTATTATTGTAGAACTTCATGTCAGTGTCAACTCAAACAATAAAACCAATTATTCTTAAGCCGAACAAAAATCAGCTAACCCTGATAACATCATGGCAACCGGAGAAGTAACACATGCTGAGAGTCCGTTATTTAATATTCCAGTATGGTTGAGTGAGGAGGTAACAGTTATTGAAAGTTTAAAAAAAATAAAATCAACCTGGTATTAATGAACTATTATAAAGTATAATGGATGAAAATCTAAGTCTTACTCTTTTACAAGTAGTTCTCAATAAACTCATGCTCACTGTGTTAATTCAATTAAGTGTGAGGGATTCTGGTCTAACTCTATCTCTCTCTTTAGTGTTACATTCATGGTGGCTGGCTTAACAAAGTGAACATGATGCACGCTTCCGTTTAGATCCTGTGTCCAGCTTTACCTTTAGGCTTTTGTACATCCGGCAGGAAAACATCATCCTCGTCCCCAGCTATAAACTTGCTGGGTTCGTCCTCAAACGGCGTCCATCTACCCCTAACACCCTTTTCTAGTAAACCAGGCAAGATGGAATCAAGTGTTTTCATGAGATGTCAGTCAAGAAATACAATACAGATCTTATTTTCAAATCTATCCGTATGATTTGTAAGTTAGTCAAGAAATACAATACAGATTTGATTTTCAAATCTATCCGTATGATTTGTAAGTTAGTCAAGAAATACAATACAGATTTTATTTTCAAATCTATCCGTATGATTTGAAGTGCAAAACAAATATATATGTTTATAGATATAAACAGTTTGATAGATGATATACATAAATAATGTTATGAAGCATTTTCCAAATGTCTCAAAAAATGAAATCACTCCAACAAATCCAAGAGTCTTGGCAAACTATAAACCAGAGCAGAATAAAATTTTCATACACGTTGGATTCCTCAACGAAATCTACATGAGTAATGCTAATAGAAGGCGTTAAAGCTTTAGTCGCATTCAAATATCAAATGTAAGTGTGATATCTATCGTCAAGTTGCAATAAAATGATTCGTTGAGGAATATCACAAAATGTTCAATAGATCAGGGAATGCTTGTAAAAAGAACAGTTATTTCTTTTTAAAAAGATTAAAAAATATTTTCATGATTTTTTTTCTTTCTTTTCAGCAAGTAAACTTTTTATCTTCTGAAATCTTGTTATAAAGAGTATATGTTTATACATAATATCTTTTTTACAAATGTTCCCAGACCTATCAGTATTTACATGAATTGTTTATGTGATGTTTACTCTTTCCATATTTTATATAACTTCAATCACACAAACAGGAAACACTCTGTGCCCAGTTGTTCAAATCAATGATTTACAAGCAATTATCTTTTTTAAATTAATCATTTTAAAATCTAAAAGAATACTTTCCATTTCTTCAAATGGCCTTTTTTAATTTTTCTATAAATAATTCTACCACTTTTCAATATTTTCAAAGGAAAGTGATAAAAGGTTTTTGAGTGAACCTGCTGTTTAGCTTATAGAGGTTTGAAAAGCTGGGCTAAGACACATTATACGTGATGCTGAGAGGCTGTGTCTTACCCTCGACATTCAGGTCGCCTGAGGTGTGCTCTTCTCCATCCTCATTCTTGGCCGAGCAAGTGTACGTGGCACGATCATCAAACTGGACGCCTGTGATCGTCAGGCTTGTTTCTGTCTTGGATACTGCAATCTTGATCCTGTCTGTGTTTGAAAGGACAGCGCTTCCCTTTTTCCTAGGAAAAAAACCCCAATGGGACATTGCAGGGCATTGTTCTCATTGCCTGGATACAGAACTAACTTTTTGTATTGAGGAGACTGGATACGGTACTAACTTTTTGTATTGAGGAGACTGGATACAGTACTAACTTTTTGTATTGAGGAGACTGGATACAGAACTCACTTTTTGTATTGAGGAGACTGGATACGGTACTAACTTTTTGTATTGAGGAGACTGGATACGGTACTAACTTTTTGTATTGAGGAGACTGGATACGGTACTAACTTTTTGTATTGAGGAGACTGGATACGGTACTAACTTTTTGTATTGAGGAGACTGGATACGGTACTAACTTTTTGTATTGAGGAGACTGGATACGGTACTAACTTTTTGTATTGAGGAGACTGGATACGGTACTAACTTTTTGTATTGAGGAGACTGGATACGGTACTAACTTTTTGTATTGAGGAGACTGGATACGGTACTAACTTTTTGTATTGAGGAGACTGGATACGGTACTAACTTTTTGTATTGAGGAGACTGGATACGGTACTAACTTTTTGTATTGAGGAGACTGGATACGGTACTAACTTTTTGTATTGAGGAGACTGGATACGGTACTAACTTTTTGTATTGAGGAGACTGGATACGGTACTAACTTTTTGTATTGAGGAGACTGGATACGGTACTAACTTTTTGTATTGAGGAGACTGGATACGGTACTAACTTTTTGTATTGAGGAGACTGGATACGGTACTAACTTTTTGTATTGAGGAGACTGGATACGGTACTAACTTTTTGTATTGAGGAGACTGGATACGGTACTAACTTTTTGTATTGAGGAGACTGGATACGGTACTAACTTTTTGTATTGAGGAGACTGGATACGGTACTAACTTTTTGTATTGAGGAGACTGGATACAGAACTAACTTTTTGTATTGAGGTGACTGGATACAGTACTAACTTTTTGTATTGTGGAGACTGGATACAGTACTAACTTTTTGTATTGAGGAGACTGGATATGGTACTAAGTTTTTGTATTGTGGAGTCTGGATACTGTACTAACTTTTTGTATTGAGGAGACTGGATACGGTACTAAGTTTTTGCATTGAGGAGACTGGATACGGAACTAACTTTTTGTATTGTGGAGACTGGATAGAACTAACTTTTAGTATTGAGGAGACTGGATACAGAACTAACTTTTTGTATTGAGGAGACTGGATACGGTACTAACTTTTTGTATTGAGGAGACTGGATACGGTACTAACTTTTTGTATTGAGGAGACTGGATACGGTACTAACTTTTTGTATTGAGGAGACTGGATACGGTACTAACTTTTTGTATTGAGGAGACTGGATACGGTACTAACTTTTTGTATTGAGGAGACTGGATACGGTACTAACTTTTTGTATTGAGGAGACTGGATACGGTACTAACTTTTTGTATTGAGGAGACTGGATACGGTACTAACTTTTTGTATTGAGGAGACTGGATACGGTACTAACTTTTTGTATTGAGGAGACTGGATACGGTACTAACTTTTTGTATTGAGGAGACTGGATACGGTACTAACTTTTTGTATTGAGGAGACTGGATACGGTACTAACTTTTTGTATTGAGGAGACTGGATACGGTACTAACTTTTTGTATTGAGGAGACTGGATACGGTACTAACTTTTTGTATTGAGGAGACTGGATACGGTACTAACTTTTTGTATTGAGGAGACTGGATACGGTACTAACTTTTTGTATTGAGGAGACTGGATACGGTACTAACTTTTTGTATTGAGGAGACTGGATACGGTACTAACTTTTTGTATTGAGGAGACTGGATACGGTACTAACTTTTTGTATTGAGGAGACTGGATACGGTACTAACTTTTTGTATTGAGGAGACTGGATACGGTACTAACTTTTTGTATTGAGGAGACTGGATACGGTACTAACTTTTTGTATTGAGGAGACTGGATACGGTACTAACTTTTTGTATTGAGGAGACTGGATACGGTACTAACTTTTTGTATTGAGGAGACTGGATACGGTACTAACTTTTTGTATTGAGGAGACTGGATACGGTACTAACTTTTTGTATTGAGGAGACTGGATACGGTACTAACTTTTTGTATTGAGGAGACTGGATACGGTACTAACTTTTTGTATTGAGGAGACTGGATACGGTACTAACTTTTTGTATTGAGGAGACTGGATACGGTACTAACTTTTTGTATTGAGGAGACTGGATACGGTACTAACTTTTTGTATTGAGGAGACTGGATACGGTACTAACTTTTTGTATTGAGGAGACTGGATACGGTACTAACTTTTTGTATTGAGGAGACTGGATACGGTACTAACTTTTTGTATTGAGGAGACTGGATACGGTACTAACTTTTTGTATTGAGGAGACTGGATACGGTACTAACTTTTTGTATTGAGGAGACTGGATACGGTACTAACTTTTTGTATTGAGGAGACTGGATACGGTACTAACTTTTTGTATTGAGGAGACTGGATACGGTACTAACTTTTTGTATTGAGGAGACTGGATACGGTACTAACTTTTTGTATTGAGGAGACTGGATACGGTACTAACTTTTTGTATTGAGGAGACTGGATACGGTACTAACTTTTTGTATTGAGGAGACTGGATACGGTACTAACTTTTTGTATTGAGGAGACTGGATACGGTACTAACTTTTTGTATTGAGGAGACTGGATACGGTACTAACTTTTTGTATTGAGGAGACTGGATACGGTACTAACTTTTTGTATTGAGGAGACTGGATACGGTACTAACTTTTTGTATTGAGGAGACTGGATACGGTACTAACTTTTTGTATTGAGGAGACTGGATACGGTACTAACTTTTTGTATTGAGGAGACTGGATACGGTACTAACTTTTTGTATTGAGGAGACTGGATACGGTACTAACTTTTTGTATTGAGGAGACTGGATACGGTACTAACTTTTTGTATTGAGGAGACTGGATACGGTACTAAGTTTTTGCATTGAGGAGACTGGATACAGAACTAACTTTTAGTATTGTGGAGACTGGATAGAACTAACTTTTAGTATTGAGGAGACTGGATACAGAACTAACTTTTTGTATTGAGGAGACTGGATACGGTACTAACTTTTTGTATTGAGGAGACTGGATACGATACTAACTTTTTGTATTGAGGAGACTGGATACGGTACTAAGTTTTTGTATTGAGGAGACTGGATACAGAACTAACTTTTTGTATTGAGGAGACTGGATACAGTACTAACTTTTTTTTATTGAGGAGACAATTATTAACCAGATTAATATGATATTCAGTCAATAAAATCAATTTAAGGCCAAAAAATATTAATTGTTAGTTTCCAGTTACCCTACCTTACCTTGCCTAAACTTTTTTAGGCCATTACATTTTCAAGGAGTACCATTAAAATCCTGCTCACTATCCTATAGATGCACTGTTAATTCTTTTTGAGAAATATAATCTGTTACCTACCTATACTACCTACCCTAATTTTTTCAGGTAAGCCTCATCCAAATTAACTTGATGCAACTTCAGGAGAATGGACACAGGACATTTATCTACGATGTCACTATCGGATCATATCTGTATAATGCCACAATCTTATCTGAGCTAATATTCAGTCAGTCGACTGACAGTATATCAGATGTATATGTCAACTTACAACATGCATGCAATAATGGAATTATGCAATTCCAAGCCAAGGCATGATAAGTATATGTTGGATAATGAAAACATACAAGGAATAAATACAGTCAAACCTTTATAAGAGACCACCCAAGGTCAAGTGGTCTCTTGATACAGGTTAAGTTCACAAAGAAATCAAAATGGGGAGTATTAAACACACAGGTGGTCTCCTAATTGAGGTGTTTGTACAAGCAGGTTTTCATCTATATCTGTTTTGCTGCTTAAGGAAATATTTAAAATTTCACATTATTATCTAGGTTTATAAGCTTTAGATATAAACAGGTGTCCTACCAGGTAAATGTAGCCGGAGATTTGGACGTGATGATACCCTTGAAGACAGCTACCCCTCCGACAGGTACAGTCTGACTGGCAGCCATGTCTGTAAAGACTGGTGGACATACACGCTCTGTAACATAAAACACAACATAATGTAAACATCCACGTGTCAAATAAAACGGTTGGTTATATAACAAAAGGAGGATCTTATAATCTCTTTCTGATGCCGGGTTCTGGCGAGTCTTGGCAAAGACATTCAAGGCCTTAAATAATATTTGCAGGTCCATCAGATTTTATATACATCCATGAAATATTACATTTTGAAAATAGACAAAAATGATCAGGCCCAAGAATTGTACCTTCGAATGAAAGATGTACATCCTGGTGTATCCGTTTCAATTCAACTAAAAGACATCTCAGTGAAGATTGAAAATAGAGTATGCTATGATCGCTACACTGATGTACTGAAGCTATGTCTCGCTCTCCTTACTAAACTAAGCTTTTTTATGATAATTACTTGTGACCTTGAGGGATGTCTCACTCTTCATACTACACTGTTCAATGATACGTACTTGTGACCTTGAGGGATGTCTCACTCTTCATACTAATCTGTTCAATGATACGTACTTGTGGCCTTGAGGGATGTCTCACTCTTCATACTAATCTGTTCTGTGATACGTACTTGTGACCTTGAGGGATGTCTCGCTCTCCTTACTATAATCTAAGACTTTCTGTGATACATACTTGTGACCTTGAGGAATGTCTCACTCTTCATACTAAACTGTTCTGTGATATGTACATGTGACTTTGAGGAATGTCTCACTCTTCATACTAAACTGTTCTGTGATATGTACTTGTGACCTTGAGGGATGTCTCGCTATCCTTACTAAAATCTTAGACTTTCTATGATACGTACTTGTGACCTTGAGGGATGTCTCACTCTTCATACTACACTGTTCAATGATACGTACTTGTGACTTTGAGGAATGTCTCACTCTTCATACTACACTGTTCAATGATACGTACTTGTGACCTTGAGGGATGTCTCACTCTTCATACTACACTGTTCAATGATACGTACTTGTGACCTTGAGGGATGTCTCACTCTTCATACCACACTGTTCAATGATACATACTTGTGACCTTGAGGGATGTCTCATTCTTCATACTACACTGTTCAATGATACATACTTGTGACCTTGAGGTATGTCTCGCTCTCCTTACTAAAATCTAAGACTTTCTATGAGACGTAGTTGTGACCTTGAGGGATGTCTCACTCTTCATACTAAACTGTTCTGTGATACGTACTTGCGACCTTGAGGGATGTCTCACTCTTCATACTAAACTGTTCTATGATACCAACTTGTGACCTTGAGGAATGTCTCATTCTTCATACTAAACTGTTCTATGATTCGTACTTGCGACCTTGAGCGATGTCTTATTCTTCATACTAATCTGTTCTATGATACCAACTTGTGACCTTGAAGGATGTCTCATTCTTCAAACTAAACTGTTCTGTGATACGTACTTGTGACCTTGAGGGTTGTCTCGCTCTTTTTGCTTCCTATTGCCGAGTCTGCTACACACACATAGGTGCCTGCATCGGACAAACTGATGCTGTTGAAGATCAGATCAGCATGGCCAGTGCTTGGGGTCCATTTCATCTTCATATTGCTTGTCTCCATCAATTTCTCCTTCTTTCCAGCCTTGAACCTGACAAATTATCAATAGCATGACCAGATGAAATAATGTAAAAATATTTTATAATTGTTTCATCAAACAATTTACACTGATATCAAATCCATCAAATCTATCAAAATCTAAGATGGCAGCCATTATTTTACTATTTTCTGACATAGGGTCCCGATCAGGGATAAACTTAGCCCGAATTTTCTCTGGCCCTGACATCAGACTTTGACATATTGACAGATAGATGTCTGGTGTGGGGCCTAATCAAGAAATCGAACTCATGTGGACCAAAAACGGAAAATATTATTCTTGTAAGGAAGATTTTGAGACCGCCTCTTTATTTTGATTAGTCACTCCCATGACCTACAAAATGGCTTTGCTCAGGTGGGAAAAATGGAATGATTGAAAACCGAGAACTCTACTGATGGAATGTAGCAGTTGTTGGTGAATATTAAGGGCCAATTTGGATAAATAAATAACAAATTTATCAATATATATGCGTCATGTCATAGTAGATTTTTGATGTCAGCACCTCTTTGATACAAACCGAGGTTGGAGATGTTTGGTTTAGTAGTGCACTCTGGCCCCACACCAGACATCTATCTGTCAAAATCTGGTGTCAGGGCCAGAGAAAACTCAGGCCAGAATAAACCCACCAACCCCTTTTACCTCTTTTCAGTATATTGCCCCCCCTCCCCTTCTACCGTTCAGGGGTTATCCCTGATGAAATACAACAGTCTTATATGTATCACACCAAATGAAATGTGAAAATATATAATTTAAAATTGGTATATAATGCTAGTAGAGTATCATGTGAACAGTTTGTAAACAAAACACTTGTGTGCTATATACTGTAATTGGTATATTTCATTTGTGGTTTGATATCAAATATTTAAACAAATCAAATATGAAATTTATTACCAAATATATCTGTGTGCAAGACACAGGTTTTAAGATGACACAAGTTCAATTAAAATGTATACAGAGGGACCCCATATTAGATAATTTTTGAACAGATTTCTATGTCATAGAAGATTCAAATTTGAAAAGTTATAAAACATTCTTTTATTTAAGTGAGGATAACACCAGAGTGTCATGTTTGTTAGAAAACAACCAAAGCCACAAAGTTTAACCTAAGAGTCATCTTTAAAATAGAAATCATCATATCAAACACAAACTATAAATAGATGAACCACTTACCAGGACACATCAGGACATGGGTTGCCATCGACAACACAAGCCATTTTGACATTGTTGTCCCCTACAAGGACATTATAAGCCTCATCCAGCTCCTTTGAGAACTTGGGTTTGATTTCCGGCACTGTCGAAAATACCATGGATGTTAGTTACAAATGTAAATCTGATAGTAGTATTTAATATACGTGGAAGTAATTCACATGTTACATATATATCCCTGTGTTTATCATTGTTACTTATGAGATGAGAACATGTGTCTTTTTAAGGCTCCCTGTCCCACTGCACTGTAGTTTTTTCCTATACATGTATATAGTGACCTCACTGAACTTCTGGTTGGATATAACTGTAGCACAATTAAGGCCCAGACATTTCCATTGGTTAGATGGCTCAGTCGGTTAGAGCAAAAGTTTAACAGTCTGAAGTCTTGGGTGCGAATCCCAGTTCTTCATCATTTTTGTCTAAAATGTCCCGCAAGGTATGGTTTTCTTTTCAGAAATGATTTATCAAAGCTATAGTCATGTCGGAAAAAACAGTTTCCAACACCAAGTTACAGTTTTTGGCAGTGGTACGAGGATCCTTAACCCTTTCACCCCTATGTAACTTTAAAAGACTCTACCATGCATTGATATGGATAAGTCCATTATGGTCTACAGTGGTGAAAGTGATAAAGCTGTTCTCACATGTCAGACTATACATTATCTAACAAAAAAGGTAGACATTCAAAATTTTCATAAAATACACCTTATATTCAAGGAACTGCTAGTTCTCAGAAATATTCTAAAAATGGGAAATGATATTTCACACGGCAATAAAATGTAGTACACACTGCAGCTATCCCTAGTAACTTCTTTAATCATTTTAAATAATTATTTTTTATTTTGGAATGCAAAAAGTGAATGTCCATAGTTCAGGACTTACATTTACCAAACATGGGAAAATCAGAAGCACTAAAACATGATATTCAATAAATAATATACATAATTTTCGGTATTTATAAAAACCATGATAATCATTCAAATGTAGATTTTTGATAATTCTATTTACATATTGTATATCAATGATGTAAATCAAAACAAAACATAAAACAACTAAATTTTAACATCTACACGTATATATACCATGCTACGTCGTCAATCAACAGTATTCATTACAACAGAAAAGTCAGACAGTAAACAGCATGTTATACGCAAGAATTAAAGCTTACATAAACAGGTATACAACTGTTTTTGTCATGCTGTAAAAAAGCAACAACTAAGGCAAGTCAATAGCCAGGGTAAGACTATAGTGACGGAGGAAATTTATACCATTACAACATTGCAGCAACAGTAAGATTTTGAGAAACTCTACACGATAAAGGACACAACACCGACTGATACATAAGTTTGAAATGACATGGATACAAAATAGCAGACAGAAATAAACATTAGTATATCACATGATTAAATCATGGCAGCTGATTGGATAGCTACAGGTGATCATCAGTTAGCAACAATATGGCAACTGTTATGGCCATTACTAATCTTTGGCAATTCAAATGTATGTAAAGTACAAACATCATTACTCCCTTCTGCTGAGTTTCTTAGTGATGTAAAGCAAACATAAGACCATAGTGCCCAAATGCCCTTTCTATGTTAAGATCCTGGGGCTAAGTATCAAGGGGTGGAGCAGACTCCTGGGCTGATCCTGGTAGCATGACAATGTTCATCTCTTTATGCCCTGCAAGCATTTAAATGGTTATAAAGAGGGAATATTAACCATTTCCATGTTTAACTCAAGGACTAAATGTGCAAGGGAAGGGCTTGTCCCCTATGCCAATCTTGGTAGCATAATTAATGCCTAGCAATTGTATACCGGTAAATGGTCTAGGGTGGTAATCTTAACTATTTCTATGTTATAACTTAAAGATTTCAGAGCAGAGCAGAACTCAAGGACCAAACCTGGTAACACGATTGTGTTTATTTCTTCATGCCCACCAGTTATTAGAGTTATACAGTGGAGACCAAATTTAATCAAAATCTGCTCAGCCATTCTTGAAAATTTGACAATGGATGGCTGTCCAATAAAAACGACAGACGACATACGCATGCCAATCATGGAATTGGAATACTACAAATATGATGTTGGTTGAGATTCATCTCTTGAAGCACATCAGAGTTGTTCCGATATTGTTGGGCCTACAGCAGGACAGATGGATTGATAAGCTGATTTCAGTTTATCGTCCTTAACTTTGTTGAGGGGGTTATAAACATGACTGGAAATCTCAAAAATGATTTTACAAACTTTAATTGTAAGTATGCCCAGAGTTTAAAACCGTGGTGCTACCAACAACCGTCCATACAGACACACAGCAGCTAACCATGTTACACAGTGACTATTAATTCAAATATTTTATAGATGCATGTGAAATATTCGTCCGAGAATATGTGCATATAATTCTGTCGAAAAAACCCAGTGATAGTTCAATACATGTACATTTGTTATAGTGTACATTAAAAGCGAAAAATCAGCAAATCATTAGCAATACAAATGTTGACAATAAAATTAAAGCACAACAACAAACAAATAGATAGGATTGGAGAAGGGTATACTAAACAGAGGAGGAGAGAGACACTCGTACATACAACCTTTACCACCGACAGAGAATGATCAGACACATTCAAACATGCAACTGTTACCATTGACTATAGTCATTCCCCCACCTTGGTAAAGCGGGCCTGCACGGCTCCTCGCGTCGAACAAAGGTGTTACCGTGTGGTCTGGTGTTTGGAACGGTAGCAATCAAGCAACCATGTAGAAAGCCTCCACGAAAGTGTCCTTTTCATATATTTATTGGTGAGAGAAATTCAGTTTGGGACCATCACACGGAAAGGTCAGATGACATTATGCAGATATAACTACAGCTTTCCATAGAAAATTACGGTACATTCTAAAAAAATCACAATTTTGTCTAATTGCACCCTACTTATTTCAGCAATAAGCTATGTAAAGTGCATTTCAAATACTGAAGTTGTGAAATACTTACATATTCTGTAAATTACATCGTTAGATGTGATTTATAGGGAATTTTTCTGTTGAAAAATTACGGTAAAATATATTTCCTAATAGTGATCACTGGAATAAAATATTAAAACCTGATGATACTCTTGACCTGATGTCAGAGATGGAAAAGGTTATGGGCAAAAACGCTGAAAATTATATCTTTTAATCCATTCTTTGTGAAAATAATAACATTGTTTTTATACACTAACATTTTGAGAGGCTGAACTCAGCCAAAAATCTGAAAATATTAATTTCTGTTATGTATTACGTAGACAATTTGAATTTCCATACAAAACCATGTACAATAACATATTTTTTTCCGTAATTGTAAAATCATTTGGATTAACAGATGGTTCTCAATGACTCTAGCAAGCTCTTTTCCATGTTTGCCTACGAATATTATCATTCTATTCAAGGATATGCAAACACAAAAAGATGATTCAACTTAATACATGTACCGGTAAACATAAATGTCGTACACATAGAAAACAAAAACTATGCTGGACCTATGGCTCTATGAAACAGCACTAGCCAAAAATAAAATCTTAATCATGTGTAAAATGTACCAGTAATTTTCTATAGCAGAGACGAGTCATAGAAAACTGAAGTTTCTGTATAATTTTAGGAAAAAAATGTGATAATTTTAATGACAATAGTTGGGACGTTCCGGGCCGGTACACCTTTGTCGCCGCTTACCTTGGTGGGATGTGATGAATGTCTGATTGGTCGTGGGGGAGATACATTTCTTACTCTTCACGGTTAATTTTGCAACAGACTTCCCCGTGCCAGCAGATGAAACGGCCACACACTCGTAGTTCCCGCTGTCGGCACACGACAATACCTTCAAGGTCAATGTCGCTATGCCTTTTTCGGCATCATATTTTACACTGGTGTTGCCATCTGCTGCTATTTTTTCTCCATTCTTGACCCTGTGTGTGTAATATCAACTGTTAACATAACAGGGGTCAAACTGGGCTATTGTACATGTGCAAGTGTCCTTCTAGTCAGGTGTTCATCAAGTTCAAGGTCACTGTATTTAACTATTACTTTAGAATAACTATTGCCTACATAAATATTTTGGGCATTTCCTACTGAATTACAATAGATATGGGGGTGGGCTTATTATCTGGCATGGGCTACCTGCTGGTAATTGAAGAGTAATTGAAATGTTGACAAAAAGAAGTCATTTTGGAGATGTTTTACTGTGGTTGAGTAAACAACAGTGCTTTACCATGATACTTCTGGACGTGGGTTGCCCTCTACCATACAGGTCAGCACAAAGTTTAACTGTGGTTGAGTAAACAACAGTGCTTTACCATGATACTTCTGGACGTGGGTTGCCCTCTACCATACAGGTCACCACAAAGTTTAACCGTGGTTGAGTTAACAACAGTGCTTTACCATGATACTTCTGGACGAGAGTTGCCCTCTACCGTCCAGGTCAGCACAAAGTTTTACCCTGGTTGAGTTAACAACAGTGCTTTACCATGATACTTCTGGACGAGGGTTGCCCTCTACCGTACAGGTCAGCACAAAGTTTTACTGTGGTTGAGTTAACAACAGTGCTTTACCATGATACTTCTGGACGAGGGTTGCCCTCTACCGTACAGATCAGCACAAAGTTTTACTGTGGTTGAGTTAACAACAGTGCTTTACCATGATACTTCTGGATGAGGGTTGCCCTCTACCGTCCAGGTCAGCACAAAGTTTTACTCTGGTTGAGTTAACAACAGTGCTTTACCATGATACTTCTGGACGAGGGTTGCCCTCTACCATACAGGTCAGCACAAAGTTTTACTGTGGTTGAGTTAACAACAGTGCTTTACCATGATACTTCTGGACGAGGGTTGCCCTCTACCATACAGGTCAGCACAAAGTTTTACTGTGGTTGAGTTAACAACAGTGCTTTACCATGATACTTCTGGACGAGGGTTGCCCTCTACCATACAGGTCAGCACAAAGTTTTACTGTGGTTGAGTTAACAACAGTGCTTTACCATGATACTTCTGGACGAGGGTTGCCCTCTACCATACAGGTCAGCACAAAGTTTTACTGTGGTTGAGTTAACAACAGTGCTTTACCATGATACTTCTGGACGAGGGTTGCCCTCTACCATACAGGTCAGCACAAAGTTTTACTGTGGTTGAGTTAACAACAGTGCTTTACCATGATACTTCTGGACGAGGGTTGCCCTCTACCATACAGGTCAGCACAAAGTTTTACTGTGGTTGAGTTAACAACAGTGCTTTACCATGATACTTCTGGACGAGGGTTGCCCTCTACCGTACAGGTCAGCACAAAGTTTTACTGTGGTTGAGTTAACAACAGTGCTTTACCATGATACTTCTGGACGAGGGTTGCCCTCTACCGTACAGGTCAGCACAAAGTTTTACTGTGGTTGAGTTAACAACAGTGCTTTACCATGATACTTCTGGACGAGGGTTGCCCTCTACCGTACAGGTCAGCACAAAGTTTTACTGTGGTTGAGTTAACAACAGTGCTTTACCATGATACTTCTGGACGAGGGTTGCCCTCTACCGTACAGGTCAGCACAAAGTTTTCATCTCCTTCCTTCTTGTTGTTTTCTTTTTGAAGAGGTGCTGAAAATGTTGGTTTCTTTTCTGGCTCTGAAGCTAAAATATATATGCACGCTTGAGTATATAATCTCAAAATGAAGAACAATACTTTTTGTTAAAGCAATGGATGAAATACAAAAATGAGGAATATGACTTTAACACAAATATAACATGGTGGAAAAGTTTTGATTGTTCATACGATCATATTCTCCTTCTCAATTTCCCTTTGACTCAGTTGGTGGATTGGCGGACTCGAAAGTTGGGAATCAATGGTTCATTCTCTTGTTTAGGTAGAAACATTACCCTGTACAGGTATTATATGAACAGCATATGATCTTTAAGCACTTTAGTCTAATACCAGTAGTTATACTCACTCTTGACAACAATGGCTGTGCTGGATGTCGTTTTACCAATGGTTGAGGTCGCCACGCACTCATATTTCCCAGAATCCTTCACGCTTACGCCTTTGAAAATCAAGCTGGCTGATCCAGTCTCAGCGTTCCAGTCAAATGAGATGTTTCCTCCAGCCTCCAATGGTTTCCCATCCTTTACCCTTGACACATATAAAGCAGAGAGATGGCTAAACATTCATACAAAGAAGAAGACAGAATACAAACATGTCTTATTATAATAATAGATATATTAAGTCATTCTTATTCATTTTCCTATCTATAAAACATAACGGACTTGGAAGTTTGGTATCGCTGGTTCGATCCCCGCGGAAGCACACTTAACTCTCTTTCCTTTTACAGTACTTTATAAAAGTTTCATGAAACTACATTGATAAAGTTGTTTTTAGAAAATCTACATTTTGTTATTGAATAATTGTTAAAAAGATGGCTGCTCTTATTTCTAATTTAGTAGAATTCGACCCTTGTTGACAGTGAACCTACAGAGCTGTACATGTTTGAGCCTTGGTGAGCTGGTTGTCTGTGGTTCAACTCATGGTGTCAGGGACACCTTGTGTCTGAACTCTGAACAGGGTCTTAAAATGATTGAGTGCTAATAGGTTTTTGTATGAAATATAATGAAATGCAGAGTAATTGGAAAGATGCTTTTGGGAAAAATGTCATTGTGGTTTTCCAACATCATGCAACCAATTGATGTCGCCAGAATGCTATTATTGTGTCTAATAAGGCAAAGCAGTTGGGTTACCATGACACCTCTGGCACAGGGTTCCCGTCGACCTTGAAGGTGAGTGTGATGGGCTCTTTGGTCTCCGTCAGGTTGTACTCTCTGTCTAAAGGCTTCACAACAGCTGGCTTCTTTTCAGGTTCTACAACGTAACACATTATAATGCATTAAATCTAGAACGTATCACATTGTAATGCATTAAATCTACAACGTATCACATTGTAATGCATTAAATCTAGAACGTATCACATTGTAATGCATTAAATCTACAACGTAACACATTGTAATGCATTAAATCTTTCATCATAGTCTTTAAACTATTTATCAGTAAATATTAAGGTAAAAAATAGAAAACAAAATTAAATCCAAATTCCACAGAAATCAATGTTTCGCCTGCCTAATCCGGAAGTAATGTGAATTTTTAGATTGATATTATAAGTATATATGTACAAAGTTTCATAAAATCAAAGAATTCCCTCATAGAAACCATTTGTGCAAATTACAACAATGGTGTCGACAGAGTAATCCTAAATGTCACATTGTTGCAAGGAATTTTGTGTCGTACCTGGTATATTACAATACAAAATGTCTGAACTATCTTGGAATCAAGACATGATGACTCAATGAGGTAAAGAACCACTCATCAACTCAAATTTAAGTCAAAGAAAAATATCAATGAGGTAAGCATCCCCCCTCTACTCAACTCAAAATAGAGTCAATGAGGTGATGAACCATCCATATACTTAAAATAAAGTCGATAAGGCAACAAATCAATAATCAATTCCAAATGAATTCTATCACTATATAGAAAATTGAATGCATTTCTAATTAAAATGTTCTCTTCAGAAGAAATATCAAAATCAATATTTTGTAAACATATCTTAATCAATACTTACTTATTTGTTGTCCGAGAAAGCAATACTGAGACAATGGGTGTATGCTAAGTATGTGTAATTGCGATATACAAGAGACGCCCATATACGTACCAACATTTTTATTTTTGAACCACACTGATTCAATTCACAATGTTATTGTAATATAATTACTAATCATTGAACATCTGTTCTCTATGGAACTGTGCAGCTCTCTGTAATGGACTCGCAAAAAATACTCAGAAATCATGTTATTAATATGTTTAACCAACTATATGTACTACATTATAATTGAGCTGACAGCAGAGGAAATTGTACAATTTTATCAGAATAAATCTGTGTATCTGTGTGTATCTGTGTATAAAGTTAAAGTTACAAGTTAAGTATATTGTACATGAATGGTAGGTTTGTAGCCTAGTGAAAGAGGTCAATAAGTGTTTGTGTTCCAGCAAGTGGTTCAAAATGAAACTGTTACTGTAATGAAATAGGCGAATCCTCAGCAATATGGTGAACCACCCGTCACTCAAACAACATGGTTTGAATGTCGTCGTACTCACTTTTCACCTTGAGAGTGGTAGAAGTGCTAGTACTACCCAGTGGTGACGAGGCCATACACTGGTAGTCACCAGAGTCAGGACACGTTGGCTGCTTGAACACCAGGGCGGCGCTACCAGTGATGACATCCCATTCTATTTTGATGCTACCACTCGATTTAATTTCCTTCCCGCCTTTTGACCTAGTTTTACGGTACAAAGGTTTTTACTTGCTGGCAATCTCAAGAATGTATTATCAACTGATATATGTCATAACATTTCATTTATGTTTTCAAGATTTGAATTCAATAAGAAGAAAAACATTAAACTCAACATTATTTTACCAATCATATCGTACTTCTATTATAACAAAAAAATCCAAATTAATATCATTAAAACTCATACAGCATCAAATACACAGAAACCAGAAATATGTCAGAAAATTGGAAAAAGTACAAATTAAAGACAAAATCTATGAAACATAACAGGAAATCGGACAGGAAACAAACAAGAGGCCCAGAGAGCCTGTATCACTCACCTGGATACCTAAGCAATCATGGCAAACTATTCTCCAAATGAGATCAAAGGAATATGCCAGGCCACAAGGCCAATCCTTGTAGCATAGCTATATTAGATTTTTCATGCCCAGCAATTTTATGTATGGTTATGGGGTGGGGATCTCAACTGTTTCCAAGATTTGACTCAGAAACTAGGTCCCTAGAGTTGTGGCCAGAACCCAGGATCGATTCTAATATCATGACTGCATTTGTCTCTTTTTGCCAAGCATTTGTATATATAGTTTTGGGGTGGGGATCTCAACCATTTCAAAGTTATGACCCAGGGGCCAAGTCTGCAAGGGTGGGGCAGACCCTGGGATCAATTCTAATATCATGACTGCATTCGTCTCTTTATGCCCAACAATTGTATATATAGTTTTGGTGTGGGGATATTAACCATTTCAAAGTTATGACCCAGGGGTTAAGTCTCCAAGGGTGGGGCAGTCCCCAAGACCAACCTGGAAGCATATGTGCAATCATCTCTTTATACTCAGCAACTGTATATATACGGTTATAGGGTGGGGCTCTCAACTGTTTCCATGCTGTGACTAAGAAACTAGGTCCCTAGGGGTCGGTCAGACCCCAGGGTCTAATCTGATATCATGATTGCATTCGTCTCTTTATGCCCAGCATTTGTATATATAGTTTTGGGGTGGGGATCTCAATCGTTTTAAAGTTATGGCCCAGGGACTATGTCTCCAAGGGTGGGGCCAGACCCTAGGGACATCCTGGAAGCAAATGTGCATTCTTCTCTTTATACTCAGCAATTGTATATATGGTTATATGGTGGGGATCTCGACCATTTCCAAGTAATACAATTTATTGGCCCCACCCCTTAGCCCGGGGGGTCAGCCCCACCATTTGTACAATTTTGAATCCCTGCCTCCCATTAATACTTCCGACCCAATATGATCAATATTCATGGCATAGTTCTGCAGAAGAAGTCGTTTATAGCAATATAACCAAATTGCCCCCTTTTGGCCCCGCCCCTAAGCCCCCTGGGGGGTCAGCCCCACCATTTGTACAATTTTGAATCCCTGCCTCCCATTAATACTTCGGACCCAATATGATCAATATTCATGGCATAGTTCTGCAGAAGAAGTTGTTTATAGCAATATAACCAAATTGCCCCCTTTTGGCCCCGCCCCTAAGCCCCCTGGGGGGTCAGCCCCACCATTTGTACAATTTTGAATCCCTTCCTCCCATTAATACTTCCGACCCAATATGATCAATATTCATGGCATAGTTCTGCAGAAGAAGTCGTTTATAGCAATATAACCAAATTGCCCCCTTTTGGCCCCGCCCCTAAGCCCCCTGGGGAGTCAGCCCCCCCATTTGTACAATTTTTAATCACCACCACCTAGGGATGCTTCCAGGCAAATATGGTTGATATCCACTTTTAAGTTCCAGAGAAGAAGTCGCTTAAAGCAGTATAGACAAATACCCTTTTTGGCCCTGCCCCTCAGCCCCCTGGGGGGTTAGCCACACCATTTGTACAATTTTAAATCCCTGCCTCCAAGGAATGCTTTTGATCAAATATGATTGATATCCAGTGCACAGTTCTACAGAAGAAGTCGTTTGAAGCAATATAGCCAAATTGCCCCCTTTTGGCCCCGCCCCTAAGCCCCCTGGGGAGTCAGCCCCCCCATTTGTACAATTTTTAATCACCACCACCTAGGGATGCTTCCAGTCAAATATGGTTGATATCAACTTCTTAGTTCCAGAGAATAAGTCGCTTAAAGCAATATAGGTAAATTGACCCCTTTTGGCCCCGCCCCTCAGGCCTCTTGGGGGTCAGCCCTACCATTTGTACAATTTTGAATCCCCACCACCTAGGGATGCTTCCAGTCAAATTTAGTTTAATCCAACCAGTGGTTAAGAAGAAGAAGTCGTTTACGGATGTACGGACGGACGACGGGCGCCTTCAGACCAGGAGAGCTAATAAATCATCTCTCAACTAAATCACATGGCTTCGTAAAACATCCATTGGTGAAGCTTCATTGCATACAAAAAGGTGAACAATGAATAATTAAACACAGAACAAAGGGAAAAAGAAAGGAAACCCGGCAAAAAGAACTGTAACAACAGAAATTGTTTTCTCAAAACAGAGATATGTAATGGTAAAAACTGCAGTGCACACAAGTTTATAACGATAAAAGCAAATAGTAAGCAAATAAAGCAAATATAGCAAAGCATTAAAGTAACGTTTTGAATACATTTGCATGTACAGAAAAAGAAACTGTAGAAGTAAGCAGAGCCACTACAAGCAGGTAATTATATATAAGCCGAGATTAACATGTACGTGTCACAAGGTACACATATCATACCAGGACACCTCCGGGCTAGGTTTTCCCGTCACCGTACAAACAAGGCGGACATTCTTGTCACCCGCTTTACATGTGTAAATCTTCTCCAGTGGCTTTGTGACGGTAGGTCGTTCTGAAATGAATACCCAAGGGACCTGTCAAACAGTGACTGAGGGACCTAGCTTTCATTCCTAATGCGACCATCATTGGTCTTTTTTCTCCTGTTCAATTGTCAGGGTATTTTCATGCTTGCAATGACATTCCGTAGAGGTCAAAAGTGTTAGGTCAACGGATTTTATTTCTTTTGACAAAAAATAAGTTGTAACATTTGTCTTCAAATAAATGTTATAATACTGGGCAATGCTTCAGTATGGCAGCATCTCATCTGTTAAAGTCGCTAGCAGGGTCTTTTTAATATCAAAAGAATTTAATCGATGATGTTCACTTTCTTTAGCAGTGCTATTGTTTTTTCTTCCACGGAGTAAATGTGGTGATGTGTATACTTTCTTTGTTTATATTTCATATATAGGTTTGTATATCTATATGGGACACTAGATCACGTACTGTGAGGGTGTCTAATCCATTCACCCGAAAGTCACATTTGAACCTTACCAAATCAAAGACTGGGCAAGTCAAGTTTAAAACTGAAGGGGTGAATGATTTAATTATAACAATATTCTGGGAAATTTCAAGCTGCAGTGCCTAGTTTCTCACTCACCCCCAACTTAGTTGTAAAACTACAAAAAACGTGAACTTACTATTGATATTAAGTGTCGTGTGAGAGTTTGTGGTACCCATAGGTGATGTGGCCACACACTGGTAGTCACCAGAATCTTCACACGTTGGCTGTTTAAACACCAGGGCGGCGCTACCAGTATCTGGATCCCACTCCATAGCAACATTGTTGCCAGGAGTAACCTCCTTCCCATCTTTTAACCTTGTATAAGCAGAAGGGACCGTCATTTTCATTTAAAAAGTTTGGAATAATGAATCTATTTTTCTTTTTATTGAATTATTTCTGCTACAAATTGTTTTACAACTTAATTCGGACACAAGCCTGGAACACCTTTATGATAAAGTACTATGATGAACGATAACTACTGAAAGTTGATCAGAAAAAAGACAAATACAAAATGTACAAAAGTTACAGAGAAAGAAGATTAATGATCAACTGTATCCAGTGTGGGATGAAAAGGTTGAAAAATCTTGGCAGTTTTTGTTGATTCTATGCAGTAACTCGTAACAGAAAACTCCATTATCAAACACCACCATGCTCAACATGTACCAACACTCAATCTAGCTACAGACAACTACAGACAACTACAGACAGCTACAGACAACTACAGACAACTACAGACAACAGTCAACGTAATACAGGCAGATCATATAAGGTAAAGAGTATCTGCACCAATTATAATCACAATTATTCCCCCTTTTATGCGGCAGATGAATAAACAAACAATTTTCTCTAGCTTAGAGTTACTTCCCTTGACAGGGAGTTCATCTCTCATTTTTATGCTATGTAATTCTTTTTCCTTGATAGCAACATTGGTAAAGTGTAGGTTAGGCATATGTTCTGAATTAGGCCCCTGTTGTTTTTGTTTTCCTTTTGTTTTCTGCCTTTTTATTTTCAAAAACACAGATTTCGAACATCACAACTTTGTAAAATGCAATGCAAGATGTGATTTTTTTTTAAATATTTCCAGGGAAAAGGACACTTAAATGAATATTTCATGATAGTGACAATGGTAATTATGATACACTGTTTATTATAACTTTTTAGTACTCTTTACCTTCACACATGTAGCACCAGACAAGTTAACAAATAATTACAGGTGACACCATTCATACACAGACAACACTGATACAGGCCATCATACATACTATTATTGGTTCCATCATATAAAAATAATAATAATAATAATTTGAGGTTCTTATATACTGCTTTATCACAACCTAGTTGCTAGTTAGTAGGTTGTCTCAAAGCGGTTCACAAATTATTATCGGTGGTTGTAGGGCTTTTGCAGCCAGCCAATATCTTTCTGAACTCCCCGGGGAGCATATAGCTGGTGCTGCTATTTAGATGCTCACAGCTAGCAATCTACAATTCTAGCACTGCTCAACCACATACTCATTTACAGCTGATTAGACCGGAAGAAGTAAAGTATCTTGTCCAAGGATACAACACAGTGCCGTGACGTGACTCGAACCCGCAACCCTTCGGTCACGAGCCCGGCATCCTACCACTAGACTACCATGCCTCCAACTCATTACATTGTTGAAGAGATCAATAACATACAGATAGGGCAGATCCAGATGGTTTCTTAGTAGGTATTATCAGGTTAATCCCCACATAGTGGCTACAGCTACAGAAAACAGGCATAATCTGACAAACATCAAAGATTAACAGAGGCTGTTGTACTTTGTTAAAACAGCAATGGCTTCCAGAAACAATTCATTTGACAAGAGCAAAAGCTACCAGAAACTGGCCTACTTTGTTAAACAGCAAAAGCTACCAGAAACTGGCCTACTTTGTTAAACAGCAAAAGCTACCAGAAACTGGCCTACTTTGTTAAACAGCAAAAGCTACCAGAAACTGGCCTACTTTGTTAAACAGCAAAAGCTACCAGAAACTGGCCTACTTTGTTAAACAGCAAAAGCTACCAGAAACTGGCCTACTTTGTTAAACAGCAAAAGCTACCAGAAACTGGCCTACTTTGTTAAACAGCAAAAGCTACCAGAAACTGGCCTACTTTGTTAAACAGCAAAAGCTACCAGAAACTGGCCTACTTTGTTAAACAGCAAAAGCTACCAGAAACTGGCCTACTTTGTTAAACAGCAAAAGCTACCAGAAACTGGCCTACTTTGTTAAACAGCAAAAGCTACCAGAAACTGGCCTACTTTGTTAAACAGTTACAACTTTGAAGGCATAACTACATCCAGGCATAAGTTGACATGCCACAACAATGAAGCAAGCATACACTGACAACATCCAGGCATACATTGACATGATTTGGAAACCTAACATCTATATAGAAGGAGCAGGTATAATTGACTATCTACATCTATGAACAAGCACCAGACATAATATATTTGACAGACAACATCTATGTACACAACTTGACATGTATATTACCAGGTTATTTGGGGAGTAGGATTTCCCTCCACCTCACATACAAGGCGGACAACCTCGCCCCCCTCTGTCGAGTTGTAGGCACTGTCCAATGGCCTTACAACACCTGGTGCCTTTGTTTTCTCTGTAAAGGAATTCAGGTACTCTTCATCATTATGTCTCCAACATAAACCAAACCATAGGTTGTGTTTTTAGAAAGTACGTCTTACAATGGTATCATTACCACTCTACTAGGACAGAAAATATAATTAGAATTTATTGACCTTATCTAATTAAATCTATTACATCAGCAGCAGTGAACTAATTTGGGTTTTCAGGACCTTGTTAATTATGTAATCAAGAGTTGCTGCCCTTCTAAGGAAAGTTCCAACCTTCAGCCCATTTTTTAGACCAGGTTGCAAGGTAAATGGGTCGCCAAAGAAACATGTACTAAAACCATAGGACTGTTCAATCTTTAATTTACTTGACAGGGTACTGTTCATTTTTCATATTTATTCTGACCTAACCAGTCAATCGAGTCAACATATGAGTACATGTACTTATGACATTTTGCAGTAACTATACTCATATTTGACAGTAAGTGTGCTGTGAGAGTTCATTTTGTAAATGAGTACTCACTTTTGACAGTTAGTGTCGTGTGAGAGTTTGTGGTACCCACAGGTGATGTGGCCACACACTGGTAGTCACCAGAATCTTCACATGTTGGCTGTTTGAACACCAGGGCGGCGCTACCAGTATCTTGATCCCACTCCATAGCAACATTGTCACCAGACTTTATCTTCTGGCCATCTTTCCACCTATTGGTGCATATTCAAAGTCCTACTGTAACTTTACCAAATATTTGTATAAAAAGATCAAGTTTTTTCACAAATATCTCAAAAGACTGCATCAGTTTATCAATTACCTACCATATTTATCCACATCCATCAAAACAGCCTATGCCTGGTAATAAGCCCACCCATGTCTATCACAGATCAGTAGATAAGCTAACAAATGTTACTGGTATTTTATTGTTCTGTAATAAGCTCATCCCCTTACTTTAAGTAGAAGACTATGTGTAGACCCCTGGGCTTACTGCAGGATAAATATACAGTATATAAAAGTTAAAAGGGAAGTAACTCTAATCTTTCTGCCTTCAAACACTATAGTTAGTGTCCGATCATAATGTGACAGTCAAAGAAATATTGTGCCCTGACAATGGCCTGCCTTGGTAGCAGGCTGAAACATGTACTCTATAGAAACCAGGTTTCAGGAGTTTCTATACTCTTCTTTATGTATTTGATACATTTTCAGTACATGAAGAATTAAATACTGATACATAACAAATAAAGTAAATCAGACATAGACAACAACATCACATTAACAAAACAGCAAACTAAACTACACAAGCTCTATACAACATTTACAGCCCAACGACAACATCCATCATACCAGCATATTTCTGGGCAGGGATTTCCATCAATCTTACAAACAAGGGTGACACTGTCAGTCCCCTCAACAGAATCGTACGACTTTTCTAATTGCTCAATAACAGTTGGGATTTCTGAAAGGAAATAGAGAAGAGTGAAATATCAATAGTGTCGGAGGTTTAAATACTTAGAATTTTTTATATGTGTATAGTAGTGTATGATAATATCTAAGTAAGAAACTATTAGTTTAACACTAGCAATAATTAATATCACAAATCACTCTATTTTGACAGTAAGTATCATGTTGGAGTTAGTGGTGTATTTGAGTACTCACTTTTGACAGTAAGTGTTGTGTGAGAGTTAATGGTTTATTTGAGTACTCACTTTTGACAGTAAGTGTCGTGTGAGAGTTAGTGGTGTATTTGAGTACATTATTTTGATTAGTGGTGTATTTGAGTACTCACTTTTGGCAGTAAGTGTTGTGTGAGAGTTAATGGTTTATTTTAGTACTCACTTTTGACAGTAAGTGTTGTGTGAGAGTTAGTGGTTTATTTGAGTACTCACTTTTGACAGTATGTGTCGTGTGAGAGTTTGTGGTACCCACAGGTGATGTGGCCACACACTGGTAGTCACCAGAATCTTCACACGTAGGCTGTTTGAACACCAGGGCGGCGCTACCAGTATCTGGATCCCACGCCATAGCAACATTATCACCAGGAGTCACTTTCTTTCCATTTCTAAGCCTAGTGCATCATTTCAAATATACAATTATTTACAGATTCTGAAGTGATGTCGAAGAGTTAAATGACACAAGATCTACAGTAACATCAGTGACACTTAAATAACAAATAAAATCAAGGCAATTACAAGGAAGACATGAACGGTCCAATCAAAACTGTTAAGATAGATTTTTAAGCCTTACACCTTACTTTAGGAACAAACTCAAAACACAAGAACATCAGAAAACTATCAAAACAAAGATCATTTTTAAGCATGTTTTTTATCAACTAGCTTTTCACAAACAAAGAATATTCCATACAATTAATTTTTTGCACAAGTTGGTCGCAACACTGCTGCAACTATTCTACATCTACGGACACCTATACACACAACACAATCGTACCATGTGACTTCGGGAGCTGGAGTTCCGTCCAGTTTACACACCAGACGTACATTTTGGTCTCCTTCGACAGGCTCGGATGCCTTGTTAAGTGGTTCAACCACTGTAGGTATTTCTGTAACACAGCACAGCGACAGACGGTCATTTTCTATAGATTGTTGCAACATTTAAGGTAAAAAGATTGATATTCAACCATCCTTAAATAAGTTGAGTGCATGATGTTAGATTTTATTAATTTTTGAAAATTGTTCTCAGGTTACTAATCTGTCTACAAAAGTCTTTTAGGTAATAATTCTGCATCAGAAGATTTGTTTGTAATTTTTCATCATCACAATGTCATATTATCAGTTAATAAGGTGTCGTTTGAGAGTTTTTAGTATATGTGAGTACTCACTTTTGACAGTAAGTGCCGTGTGAGAGTTAGTGGTGTATTTGAGTACCTTATTTTGACAGTAAGTGTCGTGTGAGAGATAGCGGTGTATTTGAGTACCTTATTTTGACAGTAAGTGTCGTGTGAGAGTTAATGGTTTATTTGAGTACCTTATTTTGACAGTAAGTGTCGCGTGAGAGTTAGTGGTGTATTTGAGTTTATTATTTTGACAGTAAGTGTCGTGTGAGAGATAGCGGTGTATTTGAGTACATTATTTTGACAGTAAGGGTCGTGTGAGAGTTAATTACTATTGATATTAAGTGTCGCGTGAGAGTTTGTGGTGCCCACAGGTGATGTGGCCACACACTGGAAGTAACCAGAATCCTCACACGTTGGCTGTTTGAACACCAGGGCGGTGCTACCAGTATCTGGATCCCACTCCATAGAAACATTATCACCAGGAGGCACTTTCTTTCCATTTCTAAGCCTAGTGCATCATTTCAAATATACATTTGTTTACAGATTCTGAAGTGATGTTGAAGAGTTAAATGACACAAGATCAACAGTAACATCAGTGACACTTAAATAACAAATAAAATCAAGGCAATTACAAGAAAGACATTTAATGGTCCAATTAAAAAATCTTTAGGCAGCTTTTTTAAGCCTTACACCTTACTTTAGGAACAAACTCAAAACACAAGAACATCAGAAAACTGTCAAAACAAAGATAATTTTTAAGCATGTTTTTTATCAACCAGCTTTTCACAAACAAAGAATATTCCATACAATTAATTTTTTGCACATGTTAGTCGCAAAACTGCCGCAACTATTCTACATCTACGGACACCGACACACAACACAATCGTACCATGTGACTTCGGGAGCTGGAGTTCCGTCCAGTTTACACACCAGACGTACATTTTGGTCTCCTTCAACAGGCTCGTATGCCTTGTTAAGTGGTTCAACCACTGTAGGGATTTCTGTAACACAGCACAGCGACAGACGGTCATTTTCTATAGATTGTTACAACATTTAAGGTAAAAAGATTGATATTTAACCATCCTTAAATAAGTTGAGTGCATGATGTAAGATTTTTTAATTTTTGAAAATTGTTCTCAGGTTACTTATCTGTCTACAAAAGTCTTTTAGGTAATAATTCTGCATCCGAAGATTTGTTTGTAACTTTTCATAATCACAATGTCATATTATCAGTTAATAAGGTGTCGTTTGAGAGTTTTTAGTATATGTGAGTACTCACTTTTGACTGTAAGTGTCGTGTGAGAGTTAGTGGTGTATTTGAGTACATTATTTTGACAGTAAGTGTCGTGTGAGAGTTAGTGGTGTATTTGAGTCCATTATTTTGACAGTAAGTGTTGTGTGAGAGTTAGTGGTGTATTTGAGTAAATTATTTTGACAGTAAGTGTCGTGTGAGAGTTAATGGTATATGTGAGTACTCACTTTTGACAGTAAGTGTCGTGTGAGAGTTAGTGGTGTATTTGAGTACATTATTTTGACAGTAAGTGTCGCGTGAGAGTTAGTGGTGTATATGAGTACTCACTTTTGACAGTAAGTGTCGTGTGAGAGTTAGTGGTGTATATGAGTACATTATTTTGACAGTAAGTGTCGCATGAGAGTTAGTGGTGTATATGAGTACTCACTTTTGACAGTAAGTGTCCTGTGAGAGTTAGTGGTGTATTTGAGTACATTATTTTGACAGTAAGTGTCGCGTGAGAGTGAGCAGTGTATTTGAGTACATTATTTTGACAGTAAGTGTTGTGTGACAGTTCATGGTGTATATGAGTACTCACTTTTGACAGTAAGTGTCCTGTGAGAGTTAGTGGTGTATTTGAGTACATTATTTTGACAGTAAGTGTTGTGTGAGAGATAGCGGTGTATTTGAGTACCTTATTTTGACAGTAAGTGTTGTGTGAGAGATAGCGGTGTATTTGAGTACCTTATTTTGACAGTAAGTGTCGTGTGAGAGTTCATGGTGTATATGAGTACTCACTTTTGACAGTAAGTGTCGTGTGAGAGTTTGTGGTACCCACAGGTGATGTGGCCACACACTGGTAGTCACCAGAATCCTCACACGTTGGCTGTTTGAACACCAGGGCGGCGCTACCAGTATCCGGATCCCACTCCATAGCAACATTATCACCAGGAGTCACTTTCTTTCCATCTCTAAGCCTAGCGCATCATTTCAAATATACAATTATTTACAGATTCTGAAGTGATGTCGAACAATTAAATGACACAAGATCTACAGTAACATCAGTGACACTTAAATAATGACTAAAATCAAGGCAATTACAACGAAGACATGAACGGTCCAATCAAAACTGTTTAGGTAGATTTTAAGCCTTACCCCTTACTTAAGATACAAACTCAAAACACAAGAACATCAAACAAGAGGCCCATGGGCCTTAACGGTCACCTGATATATTTATACAGGGAGTTGATTTTGTTTTTAATACGAACAGAAATATTATTCAAAGTGACAAAAAACAATAAAACCACCTTATTCAATATCTAGCACACAGATTTAAGACTAAAAAGTATTTGAAACTAGTACCTCTGATTCTAAACAAGGAAAATAAAGACATTTTAGTACACTGACTCATTTGGGCCCCACCCTACAGCCCTTGTGGCTAAGTATCAAACTGTCAACTCAAGGTTATAATTCCAATCAAGTTATAAACATGTAATATTGAAAGTATCATTTGCCATTTTAAACCATAATAAATTTTGCCCCCTCCTTCCCCAGGGGGTAAACGTGAGACCCTAGGGTCATAAACATTAAGACCATCCATCTATGAAGAGTGTTTGATTCTACCATATCTAGGTCTTTGAGAAGAAGATTTTTGAAATTTCAGTCAATTCAACCTTTTTTGGCCCCACCCATCAGCCCCGGGGGGTCAGTCAGGGATCATATGGCGTACTATCAAACTGGTTTCTTATACTGATAATGCTAACCCAAATTGAATTACCTCCCATGGAAATTAAACAAATGTTGGTCCAAAATGTGATTTCCCTATATAAACTGTAGTTAAGTTTACCCCCTACCCAGGAGGAAACGCGAGACCCTAGGGTCAAGAAATTCACAATTTTGGAAAAGCACCTTAAGACCCTTCCATCTATGAAGAGTATTTGATTCTACCATATCTGGGTCTTGAGAAGAAGATTTTTGAAATTTCAGTCAATTTGACCCTTTTTGGCCCCGCCCCTCAGGCCCCTGGGGGCTGGGGACCAACCCGGCCACTATTTTTGTTGACCTTTGGCCATGGAAGGTTTCTGCAAAATTTCATTGAAATTGGTTCGGGGTTTTGGAGAAGAAGTCGAAATGTAAATTGTTTACGGACGCCGGACGACGCCGGGCAAAAGGCGATCGCAATAGGTCACTTGAGACTTTGTCTCAGGTGACCTAAAAACTGTCAATACAAAGAAAAATTTCAAGCATGTATTTATCATTCAGCTTTTCACAAACAAAGAATATTCCATACAATTAATATTTTGAACATATTGGTCACTAAAACGACAATGTAAGTAATCTATATCTATGGACATCCACACACAACACAATCGTACCATGTGATCTCGGGAGCTGGAGTTCCGTCCAGTTTACACACCAGACGTACATTTTGGTCTCCTTCGACAGGCTCGTATGCCTTGTTAAGTGGTTCAACCACTGTAGGTATTTCTGTAACACAGCACAGCGACAGACGGTCATTTTCTATAGATTGTGGCTACATTTATAGTAACAATTATCATATCATCCTCAGATTAGCAAGGCAATTACATGCTCAATTTTTTTCTATTTCTTGAAAATTTCTCTTAGCATACTAATTCATAGAATTTCACTTTTGACAGTAAGTGTTGTGTAAGAGTTAGTGGTTTATTTGAGTACTCACTTTTGACAGTAAGTGTTGTGTGACAGTTTGTGGTACCCACAGGTGATGTTGCCACACACTGGTAGTCACCAGAATCCTCACACGTAGGCTGTTTGAACACCAGGGCGGTGCTACCAGTATCTGGATCCCACTCCATAGCAACATTATCACCAGGAGTCAACTTCTTTCCATCTTTAAGCCTAGTGCATCATTTCAAATATATAATTACCTTTTAATTCTTGAAGATGATGAAGCATTGTGTGTTACCATAAGATATAAAGTAAGACCACTGGCACCATAAGTAACAAATACAATCACCAAAACCAGAAAGAAGTGAATTAAAGGTAGCTTAATTTGAAAACTCTTTTAGTAGCTTTTGAAGCATGACACCTTACTTAAACAAAACAAAACACAAGAACATCAACACATACTTCAGCACAAGTTGATCACCAAACTACAGTAACTAATCCATATCTACAGACAGCAACACAACACAATCGTACCATGTGACTTCGGGAGCTGGAGTTCCATCCAGTTTACACACCAGACGTACATTTTGGTCTCCTTCGACAGGCTCGTATGCCTTGTTAAGTGGTTCAACCACTGAAGGTATTTCTGTAACACAGCACAGCGACAGAAGGTCATTTTCTATAGATTTTTACTACATTTGCGTTTAAAAATATTTATTTATCCTTAAATTACCAAGAACATGCCAAAGATTTCCAATTACATGTATTGAGTTACGTAGCATACCAAATGATAAAATATTTGTCTACAAAACTCTCAAAGGCAATATATCTGCATCAGAAGACTTGTTGCATTTAGGATTTTGTCATCATCATAATTTCATAGTTATTCAATATCTTGAGTGTTTGCAGTATACATGTATTTGAGTACTCACTTTTTAGGCAAGTGTGAGAGTTAATGCTATGTATATGATTACTCACTTTTGACAATAAGTGTAATTGTGTGAGAATTTCATTTGTAGTTTATTTGAGTACTCACTTTTGACAGCAAGTGTCGTGTGAGAGTTAGTGGTGTAAATGAGTACTCACTTTTGACAGCAAGTGTCGTGTGAGAGTTAGTGGTGTAAATGAGTACTCACTTTTGACAGTAAGTGTCATGTGAGAGTTTGTGGTGTATATGAGTACTCACTTTTGACAGTAAGTGTCGTGTGAGAGTTTGTGGTACCCACAGGTGATGTTGCCACACACTGGTAGTCACCAGAATCCTCACACGTTGGCTGTTTGAACACCAGGGCGGCGCTACCAGTATCTGGATCCCACTCCATAGCAACATTATCACCAGGAGTCACTTTCTTTCCATCTTTTATCCTAGCATCATGATTCAAAAATTATGAATTTATGATTTTCCCAGTTTTTCTGGCAAATTTTAGAATTGTTTTAATAGAATAAATAAAAGGTACCAATATTTATAAATTTAAACACACCTTCCGTTTTCTATTTTGGTTTAACTCTTCAAGAACATTGAAATCAATTAATTAACATAGTAAATAAAATAATTCCACTATCTATTAAAGTATTTGTTTCAATATCCTTGCTTTTTTGCTTGTTTATTTAATTCTATAATAGTATAATTGAGCCAAATTAACCCTGCCAGTACCTCTTGACAGGTGTCATACATATTTGTAAGCTGAAGGGATATTGTCAAAAGCTCTGAGTAAGTTATCGGAGAACAAACGTGACTGAATTATCAAGGTGCACTTTTATTAAATTTATGAAATACTTTCCATTTTAAAAATAAGTTTAACATTTGGGGGAATTTAATAAAACAGCAGAGATTTGTTTTCATGAACAAAACTGATATCCTGTCTCTTATCGATATAATGCATTTTTTCCCACACCTTTTGTTGATGATGCAGCAAAATGATGTCTTTGACAGTGAGAAAGTTTATGTCTCTCGACAAAATTTCAAGAAACATTTTGCACTTATTTAATGTTTGACGTGGAGATGGAGGCCATGTTGACCTGAATACAGTGCACAGCAGTTTATATTTCATCAAGACATCTTAAGTGGTTTAATTTTGACATCCTAGACAAGATTATGCTGAAAATTTTATATTTAATTGACCTTTGACCTTTAGGGGTAAAAGTCATTGTGATCTGACCTTAATACGGTGTACTGCACACATTTTTCTGGTCAATTTTCAGATGTGAAATCAAAGGGGCTCAATTGTGAAACTGTGGAAGTGGTCTATATAGAGACAGAGCAACACCAAGCATTAGGAATATCACTGGTGAAATATGGTAGACATTTGTTTTTATAGAGTTTTACGTCCTATCAGCAGCTAAGGTGATTTAACCATTTCACTTTCACTTTAGTAGACTCTACCATGCATTGACCTAGATGAGTCCATTATGGTCTACAGTGGTGAAAGGGTTAATAAGGGACGTAAAATATGGTAGAGCTCTTCGGCCGCACTCAACAAGAGTTTTACAAACAATGTTACAGTGACATTATGTCAGCCACTGTATGTAGATACGATCAGAGACATGTTGACCATTAGTATACATGGACAGTTCTGTACCAGAAACATTGTTACTGATATGTTGTCTTCAAAGCCAGTACATTACAAGACAAGAAAGGCCTGTATAATTAGGGCTAACACAAAAAGACAGTTATTATCAGACACCGACGAACATCTATTCCTAAGTCTGTTTACACTGTGTTTACAGCTACGTACAAACAATACTAGACAAACATCGTACCATGTGATAGTGGGGCTAGGGTTTCCCTCCATTCTACATGTTAGTCGGACACTGTCGCCTCCTTCCTGGCAATCGTATACCTTGTCTAGTTGTTCAACAACAGACGGAACTTTTTCTGGTTCTGGAATGTGTGTTTATAACATCTTACAATTTTAGGAAGAATATAAAATGACACACAATGTATTTATCATCAAATTACAGGCAAAGTTAAAAAAACAAACCCTGAAATATACTAATATCTTTAAAATTGGATGAAACAGAATTAGTAAAACACATCATAGACTGTTTATTTTTGTTTTAATTCAGTTTTATGATAGATGCCAATATCGTTTTGTTCAAAAGTCTGAACAATTAATTCCAGTTAAGGGGTGGATGTTTTGATATATACATAAGTACTCACTTTTGACAGTAAGTGTTGTGTGAGAGTTTGTGGTACCCACAGGTGATGTGGCCACACACTGGTAGTCACCAGAATCCTCACATGTTGGCTGTTTGAACACCAGGGCGGCGCTACCAGTATCTGGATCCCACTCCATAGCAACATTGCAACCAACGACAACATCTTTCCCATTTTTTATCCTATATTTTAAGTATGATTCACAAATAAATAGCTAAATTTGTTTAAAACATTTGATATTTAAATATTTCTGACACTGGTATGAAGCAATATAGCAGACGTATAAATTTGTTTCATTACAGTTTAAGTTAATAACAGCTTAGAATTCCATCCTAGACAGTTCAACATTTAGTAAAACTAAATTTTCTACAGAATTGCCCTTTGTGGTTATTTGGTCAAAAAGATATAGACAGACAAATCAACAAACTACAACATTGCCACTAACTTACTGACTCATGTTTGTATTTTTTTGTATATGAACATCGATTGACAACAACAAATAGAGTATGCAGACTACACTATAACACACAGCGTCTATACTGACTGTCCACTGCCACAAACTGTGAAGTTAAAGCGCTACAACAGACATCATGTACGTATATACTGACTACAATAAATAGCCAATACAGACTACACTATGACACACAGCGTCTATTCTGACTGTCCACTGCCGCAAACTGTGTACTTAAGGCGCTACAACAGTCATCATGTAGGTATATTGACTACAATAGATAACTAATGCAGGCTACACTATAACACACACCGTCTATATTGACTGTCCGCTGCGACAAACTGTGAACTTACAGCGCTACAACAGGCATCATGTACGTATATAGACTACAATAGATAGTTAATGCAGACTACACTATAACCCACACCGTCTATATTGACTGTCCGCTGCGACAAACTGTGTACTCAACAAATAGAGTATGCAGACTACCCTATAACACACAGCGTGTATACTGACTGTCCACTGTCACAAACTGTGAACTTACAGCGCTACAACAGGCATCATGTAGGTATACTGACTACAATAGATAGCCAATACAGACTACACTATAACACACATCGTCTATACTGACTGTCCACTGCGACAAACTGTGTACTTAAAGCGCTACAACAGGCATCATGTAGGTATACTGCCTACAATAGATAGCTAATACAGACTACACTATAACACACAGCGTGTATACTGACTGTCCACTGCCACAAACTATGTACTTAAAGCGCTACAACAGGCATCATGTACGTATACTGACTACAATAGATAGCCAATACAGACTACACTATGACACACAGCGTCTATACTGACTGTCCACTGCCACAAACTGTGTACTTAAAGCTCTACAACAGGCATCATGTAGGTATACTGATTACAATAGATAGCTAATGCTGACTACACTATAACACACAGCGTCTATACTGACTGTCCACTGCCACAAACTATGTACTTAAAGCGCTACAACAGGCATCATGTACGTATATACTGACTACAATAGATAGCCAATGCAGACTACACTATGACAGACAGACTAGACTAACTATGCTGTGATAGACATTATCACATACAGCATACACTGACCATGCCACAACACACAGCATATACTGACTTGTCACTACACACAGCATATACTGACTTGTCACTACACACAGCACATACATACTCCTACAACAAACATCATGTACTATTTACACAAAATATAATGAAAAATAATGGATGCTCAACACCTCAAGAACGGTTTTGGATTTTTACTTGTTTGCCCACGTGTTTCGGCCTGCTATGCGGGCATCATCAGGACAAATAATATATGTAGCTTTCAGTAGTGAATTGTGGTAATCTGTTTTGATAAATATGATGTCATAATAGTTATAACGTTACTTAATGCTTTAATTATTGTTTTGAAAATGCCTTTCACCATGTGTACACTGACCTGTCTATTATACATATAGATTCTGGTAATTTATCAGTGACACTATACATCTCCAGCAAACACCCATGTATACACACTTGTTAGCCAGGTGGTATATGACTAGTATGGTACAATAGTTAGCGCCTGATAAGGCAGCTCCTGCGAATTCCTCAAAAATTGTATTGATTAATGTATATGCTAATTGTTTTCATTGTATATCTATGTACTGTAAAGCGCTTTGGAGTGGCTTATGTTAGCTAGATAGGGTGCTATATCAAATGTTGTATATTATTATTATTATTATACTAGAAAACCTGGTATTTAGGGGTGCCACATAGGCCTCGATCCGTTACATTGTTGTATTTGTTATACATGTATATTTAAAAAATTCAAGATAATTAAGTTTCGTTGAGTTTTGTTGCTGCAAACAGTTGCATACTATGGCGCAGTTTACGATAGAGTGGATCCAGAAAGATGCAGTGGATCTCCGTCAACACTACGACGGACAGTTAAGACTTACTTTGCTACGACAAACATCATGCACCGACTACAACAGATATGCAGACTACACTATAGCAGATAGCATAGAATGACAAGGTATCATAGACACCCTATATTGACGACAATATAACAGACAGTACGCTGTCTAAACTACATGTACAACAGAGATAGCCTAAAGATGCTACCCTAGACAGCACATTGACCACACCACGACTGACATCATTGGCTGACAACACTACGCCACAGACAGACGACATACTAACTAGGTTACAACAGACACCGTACCATGTGACATAGGGACTTGGAAAGCCGTCCACCTGACACTCTAGCCGCAGAGACTTCCCACCTTCTACGGTGGTATAGGTCTTTTCTAGATGCCTCTGAACGGTCGGTATTATGTCTGGTTCTGAAAGACAAATTTAACACTTACTGGAGAAAAACACTTTCCCCGCCATTTGTATTGAATATTCTGTCATAGGCTCCAAGGTTTGCATGCTATCGTCATATATATAGCATCACTTTTACTTCACAGTAGTTGTAGCACTCGCTGGAATACAGCACACTTCACAACAAAAGCTTGGTATTACATAGGTACGCTACACTTTCTTTACAAAGAGTGTGCGTATAACTTCATGGTTTTGTAAAATCGTTTCATTGTTATGCAAATCATATGTGTTGGACAACTTGAGGGAGACATTTGTGTGACATAGATGGAAATTCAAAAATAACTGTATCTTGTATTTTTAACTTTTGAATGGACGTAGATTCCTCTGTTGATGTCACTTCAGGACAATGAATGTGCATTTTATAACAATTGTCATGTTTACTTTAAAATTTATTCTTCAGCTCCTCGACATCTTTTCCATGAGATGATGCATTCATTAGAAATGAATGCAGTTTGTATCCAACCTTTTGCCAAATTCCATGGCAACCACTTGCTCTGGCAAGCAACCTTTTTAACGAAGTGTAGAGATGATCATACTCACACAGGGTGAGCATAAGAAAGAAACACTTGTACTCACTTTTGACAGCCAATTTGGTTGGAGAATTTGTTGTACCAGCAGAAGACTTCGCAACACATTCGTAATTTCCAGAATCACTAGTTTTCGGATGTTTGAGTATTAAGGAAGCGGTACAGCTGGCAGCGTCCCATTCCATTTTTATTTTGTCACTTGCTGACAAGTTTTTACCATTCTATGTCCTGAAACAAAACACACACACACACACACACTGTAGTGGCAATTAATGCAAAAACATTGTTGATAAAGGAGAATTTCAATAACCAATGCTGTATTAATTTCTGTTATTTAAAGACTTTTTATTGCATATATGAAATCAATTGATTTTAATTATTTTGCAAAACCTTTGACATCAGTAAATCCTGTACAAGAAATTTGAATATATATTTTTTATTTTTCATTCAAATTTATTATGTATTATTAAAAATATTTGTTGCATGAGAGAACAACAAAACCAGAAAGCCTGATTGGACTTCCATACAGGAATTATAAATTATCGTTTTTCTTTGAACAATAGCATGATACCAATCATTTCCACATACCATGAGATTTCAGGAACTGGGTTTCCATCCACTTTACATTTTAGACAAACATTTTCATCAGATTCCAAAGCATTATACCCTTTGTTCAATGGTTCCACAACTGATGGGGCCCTCTCTGGTACTGAAAACAGGAACATATAATAATGAAACTTTCTAGCACTACATTACAGCAAGCTTCTGGCCAAACATTATGATTCTAGTCCTCTCTGTTACTTCACAAGTTGATTGAGTATTTTAACAAGTTTGGCCCATGAAGCCTTGAATATAGGTCAAGGTCATTCCTTTTTTACAAATTTTGTGTCACAACATTTCAACGACCTTAGTTATGGGTAAAGGTCATTTCATTTCACAAAGTTTATGGCATTACATTTGATCAATCAAATGGCCATAAATCATAATTCTGGTGTGCCAGAAGGACCCATTTGAGTGTTTCAACTGTTTGACTCCAGTGATATTGAATACAGACTAATGTGGTTTCTTTTCAATACTTTTAGTACTCCATTCCAGCAAGTTACTGGCCACATATTACGACTACAGGTCTTCTGTTCTTCTTCAGAAGTCATTTGAGTGTTTTAACAGATTTAATTCCTGTGACCATGGATTGCCAACAAGCTAGTGGCTATGTATCATGACTAAAGGCCTCTTGGTGTTTCAGAAGATACAATTTGAGTGTTTTACATATTTGACCCCTGTGAACTTGGACCTTAGCCAAAGTCATTTCATTGTTGTAGTATTCTATGCCAGCAAGCTACAAGCACGTTCTTCAGAAGTAGCAGTTTACCATAAATATTTTAGTATATTTTACCCCTGTGACCTTTGATATTGGTCAAGGTCAATTCTTTAATAAAACTTTCTGCCTCTTGGTTCTTTAGAAGAAAGTGTTATAATAGATTTGACCCTTTTGGCCAGGTGAGTTAAAATTAATATCTGTTGAATGGTCATTGGAACAGTCCACATGGACACATGTTGTTTCTTCTCTTTCTAAAAGCATTGGTTTCCTACATATTTTGAAATGTTTCGTGGCCATAGTCAAAGTCCTCCTTACCTTTAACAGTCATGGTTGTAGCCGATTTGATCGTCCCTACTTTAGAAGTGGCCACACACTCGTATTTCCCGGTGTTTGACACACTCACACCTTTAAACACAACGGCTGCTACACCAGTTTTGGCATCCCATTCCAAGGTCATCTGTTCTGTAGCTTCTAACGCCTTCCCATCTTTGGTCCTAAATAATAAGGTTGAGAGTTATCTATAAGAGCAATTGCTACTTTGGTTTGTTTGGTTTGTCTGTGTTTTACGTCCTATTAACAGCTATGATCATTTAAGGACGTGCCAGGTTTTGTTGGTGGTTCCTGGAGAAAAACTACGCATCCCCTGCAATTACTACACACTGATCACAACTTTTAATTTGGAAATAGAAAATAATTTGTTTTTTTTTCTTACATAATTTTTAATGACCGTCTGTATCTTATGCATAAATACTAATTCAGTTTCAGCTTAAGACGGAACAATAATAAAACAAAACTTGTCTCCAAACATTTTGAAAAATACACCTTTCAGCTAACAAAGCATAAAATTGTATCTCAAAGATGTGTGGAAATGATATCATTTTAATCATGAAAAAATGCTTCAAACAAATGTTTGACCATGAAAAGGCAATAAATGATGGCAAACCTACTAACCAAGAGATCTCCGGACATGGATTGCCCTCCATTTTGCACTGAAGGCGAACAGTTTCTTTGGTCTCAACAAATCTGTACTCTTTCTTCAGAGCTTCCAAAACAGTCGGTTTCTTTTCAGGTTCTGTAATAAATCACCACATTGGTTAGCAAAGTGAACATTTTCCTAAATTGAAAAGACAGGAAGTTTAAATATGATGTTTTTAATGGAGCGACTTGATTTGTGTGAAAGTTGTGAGTTAATGGTCAAGTTTGAAATTGCTATCAAATGTATTCTTTTGCTTGAAGAATTTGACTGTGTGCATAGTGTACCACATTGTAATCAGACTTACTTTTAACAGCAACATTTGTGGAACAGGACACAGAGCCAGCAGAAGATGAAGCTGAACACTCATAACAACCAGAATCTGCTTCAATCAGACTCTTGAACTTGAGGGTAGCTTTACCCGAGGCTGCATCCCATTCCAGGCCATGCTTGCTTCCACTGACCAAGATCTTTCCATCCTTTTTCCTAGTAAAGTACAAAATTGTTAATTATTGGTAGTGGAATAATTAAGTAACAATTAAAGCTGTAAGGAGAGTTAAGTGTTGGGTCCAGTAAGTCTATTGTATCCAGATTTATTTAACTACAGCATGGAAGATGGAGATTTTTTTCTAAACAGGAGAATCATGCAGGGTATAAGATGACCAATCCTTGCATTTACATTCAAACATCATGAAGATTTCTTCAAATGATTTGAAGAAAACTTCATGACATTTGAATATAAATTCAAGGATTTGAAATCAAATCAAATTTACCTGAGCTGGGAAAGAGAAATCTCTGTTCTATGAAATATAAAACTGGGCAGGAAGGGTCTAGATTGTCTAATACAAATAAATTCATCCATGATATATAAAGCAAATGAAAGTGTCTGAATTATCTAAAGTAAACAACAGGCTCTACATAAACTTAGTAAATAAAGGGGTCTGGATTATTTTTACTGGAAATGAAGATGTATATGGATTACTAATACTCCACTGTATATATCATGATTTGCTAACGGGAATCTTACCATAAGATATCTGGTGTGGGATGACCTTCCACCTGGCACTGAAGTGTTGCCTTGGTATCGGTGGTGACAAAGGCATACTCTTTATCTAATGCCTTCTTCACTGTCGGGGATTTCTCTGGCTCTGAACAATCAACAATTTCAGCCATTTAAACATAAGCTTCCAGATATCAAAGAAAATCAAATTCACACTAAAGTTTCACTTGAATAAATATAATATGAAAATTATTTTAAATACATATTAACACATTTTGTCACATTTAGAAGACATATAGTGATCATAAAGATCTGACTATACAGGATTCTAACATACAGAAGCAATTAATAAAACTATTTCAGCATTTTCAAAACAAACAGCTTAAAGCTAGTGTAATAAACATCTCGACTATATTATAATAATTAAGGTACAGAGTTAATGTCAAACGGTACGTCTATGAAACAAGAGAAAACACACATATACTGATAAAGGTAGGTAAAAGCAATGGTTGATAATTAGCCAGCAGTCACACACAAGACTATAGAATTGTAACAGAAGTTAATTAGCAAAATTAAAAGTCTACACAGATTATATATAAGCACCCTTTAGAAAATGTATACTTATATAATGATTTAATAAAACTGTAGTTAAAAGTTTTTAGTCTCTGCTTACAAAAGGTTATATATATTTTACAGACATGATGCATGTTAGAAAAAGAGCAGTACTTTTGATAACACATATGAAAAAGATGTTAAAATATTCCATCAAATGGAAAATTTCTCAGATAAATTTAATAGATAGGCACATAAAAAGCTCAACAACAATATATAGCAGTCATTGTAATGATAGCAAAACTGTGTTAGAACAAAAATTGAAGAAAATGAAGTAAATTGATCAGTATAAAGAAGAGAAAACCAGCTCAATTATTTGAAATTATTGCACCAATGTATTTGTAGCGGAAGCAGCAGAACTTCTTTAACTTACTAACTACAGCCAAAGAAAGGTTTGTCCCAGCTGAAATATATATATACATACAAATGGATGTACACCATGAGATTCGGAGTACCTAAATATATACATAGGTACACCATGAGACTTAGTCCGAATTATTCGGACGTTTTATCAAAATGTCAGAATAATTCGGACTACATGAGACTCTGAGTACCTAAATATATATATATGTGTACACCATGAGACTCTGAGTACCTAAATATACATATGTACACCATGAAACTCAGAGTACCTAATCATCCTATATTCTACTGAACATTCGATTCAACTCCAAGATCCTACCAAGTGCAATGTGACTAATTGTACAGTCGCTGTTTGTAAACCATTAAGCCCTCACATGAAGTAGATATTTGCTACATGACTGAAGATTTATTTCAAAAACAATTTTTTGGTTTGTTTGATATTTTTTGATATTTTCAAACTTCCCAATGATCCTGACCAAGTCAATATTGTTAACAATATGTTTTAAGTAACCCTGACTGTTAACACATCCAAGTGACTCTGTGTAAAGCTTCCAAATGACTATGCATGACTACATCAAGCTTCCAAGTGACCCTGACTTCATATGACTTACTGTCTACCGTAAAGCTTGTAGAACAGGAACATGTGCCTGCCGAGGATGAGGCGATACATGTATATTTTCCAGAGTCTTTGATCGTCAGACTCTTGAACCAGAGCGTGGACATACCAGTATCTTCACTCCACTCAATGGTAAGATTGTCACTAGGGCTTAGCTTTTTATTATCCTTCACCCTGTCAGAAACCAAACAGTTTCTTTTACTTATATTTTATACACATTTATTGTTTTAAACATTAACACCAAGGTGTAGTCTGCAAAATGAGGATTTTTATCAAAGTTTTATGATTGACAGCATTTTCTTTGAAACAATGACATTTTAATTATTCCTTGATTATCTTTCGATATAGTTGACATGTAGTAATGGGATTTTCCATATACATTCATGCACTGAAACAGATTTTTGATGGACAATGGAGAAAATTGAACAGACAATTTTTCATGAAATAGGCATAAGTGCTCAATTTGTTTTTGCCGAGATTTATTCATTAAAGACTGCATAGTAGGATTTTTAACTGGAATACGTTCGTGGACAGGAGATAATCTTACCATGACACTGCGGGTTTAGGTTTTCCCTCCACCTGACACTGTATTTTGATGTTAGTATCAGAGTCCAGGCAATGGTACTCTTTCTCGAGTTTCGTAACAAAGTCAGGACTCACATAGGCGGGCTCTAGAATGGGACATAAAGGGGACATAACATAATCAGATGTCTATCAGATCGTATAGGTATACCCAAAGGAAAACCTTTAGTAAACAATATTGACATTCTCTGCTTCGTTTCATGACGTTAAGTCTTTTTAGGTAAGCACTCCAATTTCTGGCTTTTTAAAATGTGACTTGGCAACTGTCAAACTGCTTTACTTAGGGATTTTTTTTTTTTTTTAAATAACTTAAGAAAACATTAATTGGTTGGTCATCTAGTGAGGTTCCCTCAAAAACAATGCATATGTTTTAATTCTTTTCTTTAAAAATTGTCAACAAATGAAATCATTAGTAAAAACTCACTTTAAAACACAACTTTACATGTTGAAATGAATGTAATTAGAAAGAAAAGAAAATCACACAATTCTTTGTTACAAAAGCCAAGAAAAAGTAGCACAATCTCACGAATATTTAAAGAACCAAACAAATTTTGATTAATTACAAACAACATAGAGAATAATAGAGAAAATATATACAAAAGAGTTGTTGTGCAAGTGCAAAACATGAAATACAATCGCAGTCATAGATAGAAGACATCGGTAAAGTACAAAACTGTACTAGGGGCAACCACAAAGACGGTAGGATTGTATCATATAAAACCGATCATTTAAGAAAGGAAAGGGGGAAGACATGTTGGTTGATCTGTACAAGTGTGTACAAGGGTATGATACCTGCAGGTAACAGGTGTTTGGTACCTATTAGGTCACACGCCAAGGTGTGTCTAGTCATGCTCCTTCAAAACATGAAATCGCCAGAGACTTTCTTAAAAGAAAACGATACAACTATTTCCAAAGAACTGGAATATTTCATTACAACTTCCCGTAGATGAATGTAAATATTTTTTACGGGGAAAATCACGGAGTGGGGGATGTTAAGAATTTGGACTTGTACACGTCTCATCCAAGAAATCAAACAACGAAACACGTCATTCAAAACAAAATGATAACCTATAAAAATAAATCCCTGGCCAGAACTAGAGAGAAAACAGAAGTGATCACGTAATTATGCAATATGTACGGTTCTAAACATACTAGAAGCAACAATGTGAACAGAGGATCCCTCCATGATTGTTACTGCTATATGAAGATCATAGTTATATGTTCATTGAAGAAAAAAGAAGTCCTGTTTCAACAATGAAATAACGATCTACCAGCAAGGTCACAAAACAAAAACACAAAAGAGTTCCATTCAACTCTGGAGCTCAACTATAAATAACCGGTGCTTGGTAAAAAATATTTGTCATTGAAGTCTTTCACCATTTTAGTATTTTTTCTTGGGTACAAATTAGATAGAATACAACAAGTGGTTAATTGAAAATACACTAATCTGCCAAGATATCATTCATATTAGAAACAGCCAAAATGATTCATTAGTTATTTCAAATGTATGCAAATAATAAAAAGAAACTTCTGTTGCTATTTGATAATGAAGCAGTTTGCAAGGCAATATAATATGAACAACCCTGTTTAGTCGGTAACATGTTTTATCCAAAAATAAACAAAAATTAAAAAAGACCACAAAGAAAACAATGTTACTCATAAGAACACAACTGAACCATGAAAGAAGAAATGAGTTCATGAATAAATGTATATCTGAGACAAGACAAACCACACGGGGGAAGGGGACATGAGTGACAGCAAGTCTAGGGTAGGGAGGGCACGCCCTACCATACCGTGTGTGGTTGGCCCGTCAGGCACTGTGATGCTCGCCAATCCTGTTATCCAGTTCCCAGAGTAAAGGTAGAACTAACGTCCAAATTTAATAGCAGATTAAAGATCATAAGGTTTAGTGGGTTACAGTACTTAGTTGTTAATTTGAAAGTGAAATGAGAGGTGATGGAAAAAAGAAAGATTGACTTCGAGTATATTTCATGTAAATTGTTGATATCATGGACTTACACTGAAAACAATCAAATCCATATCAACAACAGTAGACCAGCTTTGAGAGAGAAATTACCAGCAACAATAGGCCACTTTGAGTGAGAAATTACCAGCAACAATAGGCCATCTTTGAAAGAAAAACAAATGCATCTCTTTCTAAGCATGATCACCAAACCATTCTGCATTGTTACCAGTAGTAAGTGATGCAGCAATGTAAGTTTATAGCAAAAAAAGAACAACCACCGAGTCCAACATCAAAAACTACAGCCACATGATAACCGACAACATCCATTGCTAGGCATCACCGGTCAGGATGACATTTGACCTCTTTTATTTTCTATTGACCAGTGTGTCCAGCTGAAGTCCAGTTCACATGCGACTGCTAGAAAACCCAAGGCATAGTGTTCAACAAATTTGATTTCTCTATATGTCAACAAATATAACAGCCCTTTATTTCCATTCCTTGTCCAATAGTTTTATTGTAAACATCATTGTTTATATTACAATATGTTACCGTTACCATAACAACCTTGATGTTTAGGTGTAAACGAAATAAGAGGTCACCCCATTGGATAGCAACTCTTCAATGGATACAAAGGAGTTCATACTTGTTTTTCTTTTTTGAAAAATATAAACTAAAAAAACCACACCTATTAAAGTAAAATATTATAAAAAATATTTCAAATATTGATCATCACACAAACTGGCTACAGGGAGCAGGTAAATGGCTTGTACAGGTGCCCTCCTGGATAGAGCACAGGTACAAGTACAATTAATGTCACCATAGATACAGATAAGGTGTTCCACAACCAATCAAAACTTGATTTTCTTTAAGAAAAACAACTGTTCATTTTTGTAAAATATAAAAAAAATATTGAATAACACTGGTTTAGATAGTTTTTTATAATAGGTTTCTTTGTTCTACTTTACATTGTAACTGAAAAAGTATCTTCATATTATTGAACTTTAAAGTTAATCACTGTTAAGTGTTTTTAATGATATGTACATGGTTGGTGCCTATAAATGAAAATTAACAATTTATCTATAACTAATGGGAATAGAATTTCTACAGCTACTTTGCAATATTTAGAATTTTCTAATCTATAAATAATCTTATAACACACACAAACCGATTCTGAAAAGAAACTTTTCTATCATGCAACCAAGCTCAACACTCATAAACATGTTATATGTCCACATTGGCATCTCATATATCAAAGCACAGTGGTGAGACAGCAAAACCGACACGTGACTAACAGCTACGACAACCTTCACCAGCAATCTACGATACATGTATACAACAGCTACAACAAGGGAGGTAACTTACACATCCACAAGGGAGGTAACTTACACATCCATAAGGGAGGTAACTTACACACCCACAAGGGAGGTAACTTACAACATCCACAAGGGAGGTAACTTACAACACCCAAAAGGGAGGTAACTTACAACATCCACAAGGGAGGTAACTTACAACTTCCACAAGGGAGGTAACTTACAACACCCACAAGGGAGGTTACTTACAACATCCACATGGGAGGTAATTTAATTACAACACCCACGAGAAATGTACCTTATAACACCCACAACGGAGGTAACTTACACATCCACAAGGGAGGTAATTTACAACACCCACAAGGGAGGTAACTTACAACATCCACAAGGGAAGACATTTACAACACCTGAAAGTGATGTAACTTACATCACCCAAAAGTGAGGCAACTTTCAAAGCTGATCGAGATATTCACAGCTTGTACAAAGGAATTAATTAAAGGATCATGGAGAGGTTTGAGGGAATGTTTACAGTGTGGAAAATCACCGAACGATGCATTGGCACCAATATGGAGGGATCATTATAAATGGAGGAATAGGACTTTTTCAGGGATAGTTTGACAAGTATACAAGGGGACAGTTGTAAATCAGGGAGGTGTAACAGGGGGAAGGGCTACATTATGAACTACCTTTCTCTTTGGGGGCACTGGGTTCACCTGTGAGAAACAGAGCATCACATTCGTCATATTAAAACTTTTCTAGTAAATGAACAAGATAGAAATCATTATTACATAAACATTATTTAGAAAGCATCTAGAAACATCAGCTTGAGTGAACTGCATAATTATACAAAATCTGACCACGATATCATACATGTATGAGTGTACTTAATGACTGCTATTAGATTCATCTTGAATTAAACAACTTTACTAAAAACATTTTAAGAGAAGCAGAAAGACAAGCAACAATGATACAGCTTGACACATACACAGCAAGACATAATACTTACAGGGTTCAGGTTGAGGGGCAGCATCTCTGGAAAATAGAAATATTGATTTGTGCAATTAGTATCAAATATGTATTTTTTTTAAAGGCCCTGATGTTTTGTCATTTTAAAATAATATACAGTTCAATATATAGAATATTGCCATACAACACAGTCCAATAAGGTTAGCAGCCTTTTGTAGAAAGAAAACAATCATGCTTTCACTATAGTATGTTGCCAATGGAATTTCAAAAACTATAGTAAAACGAAAACAAACAAAATTAAAGATACAGCATGTATTTCGGAAGTGTATTCGCTTCGTTAATTATAGTTTCAGAAATCTCAGTCACAGTTACAACACTTAATTCTAATAACTAAATACGTACACAGTATCTTCCTTTGCTACTTCAGGAGCAGACTCCGGTTTGGCTGCTTCTTCAGCTACAGTTTCAGCTGCTACTGGTGCTGGTGCCGGTTCAGCTGCTACTGGTGCAGGTTCAGGAGCAGATTCTGCAACAGGTTCAGCGACTGGTGCTGGTGCAGCCTCAGGTGCAGGTTTCGTTTCAGCTACCACTGGTGCAGGTTTAGGCTCTGCAGCAGGTTCAGGTGCTGATTCAACAGGTGCAGGAGCTGGCTCAGCAGCAGGGGTAGGAGCCGGCTCTTCTACCACTTCCTTAGAAACTGCAGCGGCAGCCTCTGCCACAGCTTCTTCCACAACCTTAGTGGCAGTCTCTTCTGCTGTCTTCACAACAGCAGAAACTGTTTCAGTTTTTGATTCTTCAACTGTTACAGATTCTGTAGTCTCAGTTTTTGTTATAGCTTCTGTTTTTTTGCTATATTTTTCAGCTAATTGTTCGGCTCTAGCCTCTCGTTCAAGCACAAGGTCCGATTTTTTTCCCTTTTTCACATCAGATATGCTGGTAATGTCTTGCCGGATCTCTACCATACAACTGCTCTCGATGACACTGCCACTAGGGTGAGTGAGCCGGACAGTGTACTTGCCGGTATCTCTCTCTGCGTAGGCCCTAGCAATCTCACACGAGTGGTAGTTCTTCACAGCGATGATCTTCACATGGCCTTTGTTGGCTAGATCCTCACCGTTACACAGCCATTTCACTGAAAGTTCAAGGTTTCACAACATACAGTTACATCTCGCTTCCTTTTAATTTAGAAGGACATTGAAGAACAACATTGTGAATTTCTAGTTATAACACATATAATAATGCAAAATCTAAAGTCCAGACCGAAATTTGACTTAATTTTTTTTTTAAGGCATTTGAGCCACCATGTTGACCAGGACAAAAGATGAAGATGAAATTTACTGTCTCACCAAAGTTTCAACTGCTAGAAGGATATGTCATTTATCTACATTCTTTAACTCATTCACCCCTGCAGTTTCGTAAATGAACTATTCTACTTTTGAATTGGAAGGGTTTAAATGTATCTTCAGGGGTGAGTGAGTTCAAGTGCCAGACAGTCGACAAAGATGTCACTGTCTAATGGCGGTCACTGACCTGTTGGTTTGGGGAAGCCTTCAACCTTGCACTCAAAGAACAACATCTGCCATTCCTTGATCTTCATGGTGTCCGGCAGAGACTTGCACAGCCTCGGGGGTTGGTACAGCACATCTCTAGTGTTACGGGGCACAAAGTCACTGTCTCCTGTAAATTCTGAGAGACCCAAAGGCCCACTGTCAACAGCCTTACTGTCCTTGTGGCCCCAGCTTCCAAATGAGGGCGTTCCATCACCTATTCACACATACCAAAAGTAGGTCTTATCAGACACAAATTTATTGTTTATGAATATGAAAGCTTATATGGATCTCAAAGTCCTTTCAGATAATACAGATATAATTTGCAAATGTTAAAAAAAGATTCATAAAAACACAGAGCTGTTTACTGCAATGATGCTACTTTTTGTTGTCGTAATCTCCAGCTAACTGAAAACTATTTACTCTGCTGATGTGAAACAAAAGTATTCTACTAAATGAATACATTGTATATTGAATACATTAATTTGGCTCAAGACCAGATAATACAGATATCATCTTCAATTAATTTTCATATAACAAAAGAGCTTTGTGATGCCATATTTGACCTATATGCTGAATGGGAATGTTATGATGCCCTATCTGACTATCATGACAAACTATTTACTGAACATAATGGCCCTGGTTATGTACCAAGTAAGACATAGTGTATACCAGGCATGTTAAGTTAGACCATTGTGATATTTTCTACTTACCAAACACAATGAGTTTGGCAGAGCTCTGACACCGCCCAGCCATGCTGTGAGCCTGACACTTGTACAGGCCGATGTCCGAGTGCTGACATTCATGGATCTTCAGGATCACCAGTCCTTTCTCTCCAAAATGCATTGTTGCCTTGTTAGTTTGGTGAACCCTACGGCCATCTTTGTACCTGTAGACACAACAAAATGTCAGATTCTCTTTGGATTTGTCAAACAGTGTTTAAAACAAGTTGGCATTATATGTTGTATCGTCAATGAAGCAAACAGATTCTACACAAGTAGCAGTAATATGGAAATATTATTGATAACGTTTTATCTGAGAGTGAAGATATGTTTACTCACCAGGTAACGTTTGGTTTTGGGTTGCCCTTGACGATACAGCTGAAGATGGCAGTGCCTCCGAACTCCACATGGACGTGATGGATGTTCTTGGTGAAGTATGGTCTGCAGTACTCAATGCAGGGGTCTAGTGTGGCTAAAATTGAAATATTCACTTTAAATGACTTTGATAAGTGATGGTTTAAAAAATAATACTAACTTAAATATTTAAAAAAGTAACAACAACCAGTTTCCAATAATCTAGATTAAATGTCAAATTTTCACCAGTCAGGTCTAACTTGCACTAGTTACGTAACAGTAGCAATCCTGTCAACTGAAACTATCACATAGCCTATGACAAAAAACGATTTGGGTGACATTGACAATACTAAATGCGGGCAGAGTGATGCAAATTTTGTTCATGAATAGTGAATGTGGATGGCGTTAGTCCATGTGTCTGTGTGTCCAGGCTGTCGAACCTTAGGGCAACGAATCATTCTGCTTTAACGATGAAATATGTATCCACTGGTCTAACTAATGCAGATATTTTTATGAATTAATCATAGAAAAACTATTGTAAAAGTAAGTATAAACTTTCCTTTCTGTTGAGGTTACTACAGTGTAGGTGATAACAAAAATAAAGGACCAAGAATTTTTATTTTTTTTCATAAATAACTGAATACTCACGCTCGACTTGGAGGTAGCAGGTAGAAATGATGTGACCTTGTTCATTGCGCACCTCAACACTGTACTCTCCGGTGTCGTCAAGGGTGGTAAGGGGGATCTCCAGGCTGAAGTGTCCGCCCCTCAGCTGCGTGAAATATTACAATATATACACTGTATTAGGTAAGTAAAATATTGACATGTAATCTAGTCCCACAGTAAATCTCATCATATTTAATCCTGCATGATTTAATTGCCATATTTAGTTATTGCTTAAAGTTCTATTAGTAGTGTAATAAGTAACGTAACCATTGGCTTAAAAAGAAATATTGGTCACTGTATGGTCAAGGGGTATGAAGTATAACCTTGACATTGACCTTCTAACCTCTGACCTCTAAAGCAGTTCTAGACATCAATGATTCTATCCGACTTATGTACTGTGCCTGAGCACTTTTGACCAAATAACCAAGTACCATGTCTACCTCATCCGAGAAACAAGACGTTAGGAATATGTAAGACTTTATGGTGCAGGATCTCTCATATAAGGATTGAAGGACATTGGGGTTTTTTCAATTTCATGCTGGCATGATTGCAAATCGGTTACATACATATTCCATGAAGCCCTGGCATGTATTTAACCAGATTGCATTCTACCAGCATGAACATTGAAAAAAGTCTGTTCAATCCTTATATTTACATTGTAAAATTTTTGTTATTATTGACCTAAACATTTAAACAAAGATATACCCCTAAATTTTCGATATTGAAATGTCTTTGTCGTCAGTGCAACAAGATTCCTGGAACAGCCTAACATCATCAAAATTTTGCTTCTAAGGGTTGTGTCATGTTAATCGAAGCGGGATGAATAATTCAAAATGATGCTGATTCAATTGCGTTCATAGCCCTATGAACGTTACTTCTTATGGTAATGCGTATAGAGGAACATGCAGTGAAAATGTAAATATAGATGTATATAACTTACCCTGATGTAGTATCTCTCATATACATTGGCGTAAAGTGGAGCATTGTCCTTGTACCACTGCACGAAAAAAGGAGGGATGCCCGAAATGAAACAGCTAAGAAGTGCCGATGATCCCTCGACTACACACTTGCTCTTGAGGTGCTCCCTGAAGAAGAATGAGCGGGTCTCGTCCCACTGGGCACTCAGTTTGAGAATGGCCTCGTTCTGCTGTTTGTACAGCTGCTGCAGGTGGGTCTCGTCACTCTGTCCACAAGGGGAGACAATTATGATTTTATTACTGAAGATATCACAAATACTGATTAATGCATGTATGTGACAAGACAAGGTCAGGATTTCTAGGGTTGCAATAATCGGTAATAGCACTTATTCCCAACAGAATTAAGTCAAATTGATTTTCCAATTTAAAGCTTTCTTTCCTAAATTCATAATCCTTTCCAATAAGTTTGAACGACCACCTCAGAAACTCTTTAAAGTGTCAAATTTCACACTATTAACTCCTTCTTACTAAAGATATAGAGAGAACAAGAAAATCCTGCTTATGAAATTTGAAAACTCTTTTTTTTTCTGAGAAATAACGATAAGCTTCAATGGTCAAATTCAAAATGCCTGCCAGGTGGAAATCTATTTTTGTTATACCTTTAGTCTCTAGAAGTTAACAGCCTTAAGGAGCCCTGTCCCATTGCACTGCTGTTTTTCCTATACAGTAATCTCCCCTTAACTTCTGTTTGGATATACCTGTAGCACATTTGGGTTTGTACACTTCCATCGTCCTGCAGGTAGCTCAATCGGTTTCAGTCATAGTATAACAATTTGAAATTCAGGATTCAAATCCCTTCTGACCCCGCAGAACATTTTACACTCATAACATGTTGGTTGATAATATTTATTTATTTCATCTTCATTATGTTTTCGCAAAAAGTCCTGCAAGGTACACTTTTCTTTTTAAAACTGATTGATCAAAGCTGTAGTCATGCGGGAAAAATAAGTTTCCAATGTATAGTTTAATTTTTGGCACGGGTATGAGGATCCTTAAATTCTTGCTGCCAGAGCCTCAAGGTTACAGAAACTAGTCAAAGCTTATGCTATCTTGAGTCAGAATATTTTTTGTGTTACAGCACGGAATTAGGTTATCTAAGTCCGTGGTTACAGCAAAAAGTCTATATTATCTTAAGTTTCCAAACATTAGGAAACCACGCTAACTTGGTTGTCTAGGCTTCAGACAAGATTTTATGTATCAGAGCCTATTCTACTTTGAAACAGAGCATTCTTGTGTTATAACAAGTATATGTTACATCAAGTCTCTAAATGTGAAAAGTCTGTACGACTTTGATTGTCCTCATGTTGAGGAAAGCTAGGTTACAGACAAGAGTTCACACTACTTTGATTGTCCTCATGTTGAGGGTAGCTAGGGTACAGACAAGAGTTCACACTACCTTGAGTGCCATCAGTCTTTTGTCAACCACAGAGTCATCTTCAATTTGGTTCTTGCCTGTCGATGTCAAAAACCTCCTCTGGATGTCGTAAGGCTCAAACTCCACCTCGTCAAGCTTGTTCAGTTGGTCCCATTTCTCATAGGCTTCTTCATCTGAAAGTTGATCAAACCAACTGCTAATATATTTTCAAGAATATTTATATTCTTTTTTTGCTGATAATCATTTTCTTTTGATGTAACAAAATAACAGGCCTGTATCACTCACTCAGTATAATTCAAGCAATCATGACAAAATATTCTGATCAAAATTAATAGATGCTGCAAATATTTCCCCATTTTGTTCTCCACCTCCACGGACCCTTGCAGACAACACCCTTCTTTTGTATATTATTATATTCCCTGGTCACACAGATGCTTTACAGCTTTAAGTTTGAAGGTCACATCACAAAGCTGGTAGACAGACAGATGAATGGCTTGATAGCCCTTAAATGCCACCATGCTACAGGCCAAATATCATTATTATTACCCTTTTGGTTACTCAGAAGGAGCTGTTCAAGATTTGAACAAATATCCATGTGACATTGATATGAAATCAAGGTCATTCATTTGAGGAAAATTTACAATACTTCATCCCAGAAAGCTGATGATCAAACATCATGTATGGTGTCTCTAGTCTATGTCTGTTAGTTTTGCTGGTTTTAAATGTTTTTTATTGGTAATTTAATACCCTATGAGCTTTGACTTGGGTCACACATTACCAGTTCTCAAAGCTGAGCTTAGCTGTGTTTTGATCTCATCACAATATTCATTAGAGATGACATGACTGGTCTTTATAACATACTAAAGCACCATGGCTCTATACATCATGAATTTTCAGATAGTATCATTTGAATTTCTTAGCATATTGGATACCTGTAACATCAAATAAAAGGTCAAGGTTATTTACCCTGAGGACAAATACCATGTCCTCACACCCTCTTTGTTATTCAGAATCAGGTGTTTTTTTCAACTTCTCACCCATCTTTCAAATTGACCTTTGACCTCACACTGACTGGTCTTCATAACATACTAAAATAAAAAGGCTGCAGACTTCAGAATTTTTTTCTAGATTATTTTAATTGTTTTACATGATTGAGTCGACAATTCTCCGTAGGTCAAGGTCATCCATTTGAGGACAATATATATCACTCAGTTTTCTATTCTAAATGCACACCACAGCATATTTTTCTTTGCCTTTTTATACAAATATTGATGAGATTGAACCCTTGAACCTTTGCCTTGCCTGTCAATACACCTCTATCATATAATATTACAGATAAGGTCAAAAGTCATTTTCAGAGATGGGTAAAAAAGTTGGAACAAAATATTATAGGTCATTGATAGACGTTTTGAACTGTCACTTTGGACTTCATTCAATTCTCATCTAGAATGCGTATCTTGGCCCTGGACCCTTAATTGGAAGATCCTATTTAAACTGCAGTCCTTACCTAGAACGGTCACTTTGGACTCTGTGGTGGCGATACCGAGGAAGCTGATGGCCTCACACCGATAGACGGCGGTGTCGTACCTACGGACGGCGTCCTTGACCTCCAGAGTTGAAATACCATCGCTGTGGACCATCACCGTGTGCCGGATATCCGTCTGGATAGGCAGGTTATTCTTGAACCTGTAAATATCATTATAAATTCAATAGCAACAGAAATGGAACGTTATTCTGGAAACGATTTCCACAGTGATGCTGCAACCCCGTTTTCGGACGTCATTTTCTGGGCGATTTTTAAACGCGGAATTCGGCGTATTGATAGTATCACAAATACATATCGCTTCCAAAACGTATTTCTTATACCACGGAGTTAGATTAGATCTCTTTAAGTCTGTGCTTGCATGTCTTATATACAGTAATATGCCATAAGCCTTTTACTCGACGTCATTTTCCCCATTTCTTCTACTAATAATATTACAATTCTTCTAAAACAAAATTCCTAAATCGGTTTTTTCGTCTTAAATTGATGAAACCCGGTACACAGATAGGCCTATATTATTATTTAGCGAATTTATTGTGTCGTGGTAAGACAATTATCCGTTTCTTAGAATAAGAACCATGATTATTTAGTTAATTGGCCAAAACAATTTTTTATCCATGAGAATGGATTATGCTGGGATGAAAAGTGATATCTCAATAACAGAGCTACAGATAATGATATAAATATTACCAAGAGAAAAACTAGACAATTTAACGCTTTATCAAAATTGGACGTCAAATGAAATGAATATTTGGTTAGTAAGTTTATTGTGTTTTGTCGAGATATGTACCTATAGCAGTACTTAAAGTTTTTAAAAGTAATCTCTTTTTCTGCCTATTTCGATAAGTCCAGACTTATAGAACTTTACCATTTCATTTCCGGCATGGGGTGACCGGAAGCTCTGCATTCCAGCTTAAATTGGTGCCCCTGCTGCACCTTGGTGTTCCTGAGAGTCCTAGCAAACGATGGCTCCTCCTCAAACATGAGGGCTGGAAGTTGTTGAAGTTATTAAACAAAATAAGTTTTGATTTTGTTAAATACATCATTAATGTTATTTTAATTTTGCTGAGTACATCATTAGATGTGTTCGGGGTTCTACCGTTTGTGAAATTGTCATTTACCAATGGTAACCAGTGGTAGCAAATGTGTGTCCCCGGTATCCCGTGGATACCTATGGCTAGTAACCAATGATAGAACCCTGCTAGGTACCATATAGCGGAAGAAAATATGTATACAATACGCACATGCTACACTATGTACTTATTTTTCAATTGCAAAATATTGTCCCAGTTTACAACCATAACCACATGGCAAAACATTCCAGTGATGTTTAGTTGCTCTCGGATTAATGTACATGTATGGGAAACGGTATTCAACTGTCAACAAGTGTACAAGTTTGCACTTCAAATATGACGTCCCTGGCGTGTCATGTGGTTTCTTGCCCGTGTACGATTCAATAGCCGGTTCACTGTTACGCAGCTGAATCCAACTAATAAAAACCCACTGCTTAGTGCACCTCCTTGTACCCCTACAAAGTCCCGGCCCCCTCGTCCTGGTTCTAAATGATCCACTCCAAACAAGGGCTAGCTACACCCCTGAGTGATCCAGATCACTTAATATGAGAACCAAATCTACTTACTGTTGAGATCGCCTCCCTTACTGAAGTGGAAGAACTCTGACTTCTCCTCCTCTTGTACTCCGTTCTGGATGGTCGTCTTTGAGGAAGTCATGGAGGAGGAGGTATTGGAGGATGAAGAGGTGGTGGTGGTGGTGGTCGCCTTTCGCTGTGTCGCCCTGTTCATGTTTGCCTCTTCTACCGCGGCCTTCGCTTGTCGCTTTAGCTCCTCTATAGAGGCGATAGAAGGGACAGATTAAGTTTTTAACATAACCGGACATGCCAAGTTTTGTTTTGGAAACAAGATTGTATAGAATGTTAATAGCGAACATGCCTCTAAAGCTTATATATATTTATACATTTTATAACGCTTGATGCAAAATAAAACAACACATAAGCTTCTTTGACAACTTTTAAAGTACATGTCACAGGTGCTTAGATCGAATTGCTCCCCTTAAACACTATCATGTAGTACTAAATGGCAGCTTTGCTGATGTAAAATTTATTTTTAGCTGGCCCGATGCTACAACTTCTAGGATCAGCCTCGTGTTACAGCCCCATTCCTCCAGACAAAGTCTCTGGATCATAACATAGAATTGATTGAGAGCCCACCCCATGCATAACCGTATAAACTATTGCTGAAGATGAAGAGACGAACATGATCATGCTACAAAGTTTGGCCTCCTGGGTTCAGCCTCACCTCTTGAGACTTAGCCCCTATGATATTACATGGAAATTGTTAATATGACTACCCGATGACTGTGTAACATTTGCTTAGCATGAAGAGAAGAACACACTCNCCCCCCCCCCCCCCCCCCCCCCCCCCCTTGGGACTTAGTTTCTATGCAATCTCATTTTGTAGCCATATAAATATAGGCCTTGTTATCTATTTTTTCAGTCCGGGAAGAGGTAGTGCAATCGATTCAAACACCTGTGGCTACTGTTTTTAAATATAACAATATGAACAGCAAAAAGAAGCTTTGCTGATCTGCATTAATTGTGTTAAAAAGTAAGCGATACGGTTATATAAACTATCAGCTGACATTAGGTGATGTCTACAAATATTTATCATCAGATAACAAGCCAGACCATGTCCGTCGATCATGATAAAATAATCAACGCCAGATCAAATCACATTAGATGCATTTCGCTATATCATAGGAATGACACCTACAGAAAGCACGAACTTCATGCCAACTAGACATTAACTAAATCACAGGCACGTGTAAACTAGAAAATTATGTTTATATGGAATAAGTCCTCTTGCACGCTACCCACGTCAACACCGGGCTAATGAGTAATTGTTTAATTATACTTTGCCTCATTATATACGTATATCTTTTTTATGTATTTAGGTCATTCTTCAAAAACCTCGTAGAGTGTCGGCATGAGTAGAATGTGGCAAGGGACGACTTATTCAAAAATAAAAGGAACATTTTCTAGTTCGCAAACCCCTGTGATCTAGGGACACCACAGAGGAGGGTGGCCTTTGAGACAGACTAAGGAAAGCTAGAGGAGTTTGGCACGGAAGAACAACATAACACATAGAGATTGGTTACAAGTGTTTAATGAAGAAACAGAAGCATGCTAGGCTGAACTAGACAAAAGAAGCAGACTTTGACAGAATATCTGTAGCAGCAGAAGGAGACAGCATGCTATACTTTCATTAAGCACAGAGTAGCAGAATATGCGATCCTAGCATACCTTCTTGCATGGACTTCGCAACATGTCGTTGGTACTACATATAATATCCATACTATCTAATAAGCTAGCTAGAGCATCACAATAAACATGCACTATATCAAACTTCTACTAAATCAACAATCACATTGTCTGATGGCTTAGGTCTAATGACGTCTGCCCTTCCTACAACAGTCCTCGTAGACAAGGCATATCGGTACTTGCAGTTCCGTTTCGGAAATCGAGTGAAATTACACAATAGCAACAGTGGATTCTTTTGGAAACGACACAGATAAAGTCAAAACGCATTTAATAGGTTGTTGGGTATATATATATCATGAACATTTTTGTTGGAAACGAACCGGATGCTTGGAGTCGTTTGTTCTACATACATGCAAAATATCTCAACTATAGAAACAATAACAACGTGAAGGAGAGAACGGTCATGCTGGTATGTACGCCACAGACGGCGAGGCCACGTGAAACTGACCGAGAATTGCCACGTCACACACAGTCGACACTTTGCCATATTTGTCTTCAACTTCACATGTCCATTTTCCCGCGTCGTCTAAATTTGCGTCATGGATGCGCAGACGGTAAACATGAAACTCGTCTTCGTCCGACGCCGATGACGTGGACATACGGGCGACCTCTTCTGCCATTTTGAAGGGTTTTTATATGATCTGAAATATTTTAGAAATATCTTAAAATATATAATGTCTTCGTGTTATGTAGTTACCCAATTCCGTGTTCTTGCAAAGGACATTTCTTCTCAAAAAGCATGTACACGTAAGCTGAAAAAGAATTTTCTGTAAAGAAGCATCGATTTTTGCTATCATACTGCTCAGTCATTTCCTCTATAGTTCTCAAAGTTAAATAGGAATACTTTATATAACTGTCTTATACTGACAGACACCCACGTTCTTTTGTAAATTGTACCCCGATTAATGTAGGCCAATTGTGTATTGTTCTAAAATATGACCCCATTGAGAGATGTAATATGGGGTGGGCTTATTACCGGACAATTACCTTAGTTACGGAAAGTGTAAGTTTCGTAGCACGAATAACTACGGTACATGTAAACACAGATGGTCATATCAAGCACTACACACAGACGATGCCATTAACTGTTCAGGTGTGTCCAATGCCCTGTGTATTGAGAGATCCCCATGCACCAACCTGTCGGTGGTACGGCTGTTTCTCGGCTAACGAGGATCACATGGGTTAGACATGTTTGTTGGCCGAGAACGGTGGCTATCGGCTAATAAGATGGGCGAGACGGGTACATCGACACGTTACAGGGAAAGAGAACTGTTTAGTCACTCAATTGTCGAATTACTGGACATTTACGTGCTCCATATTTTGCATTATTTATGTTTTGACAAAATGTATCTGTTAACTTATTTTTGTTCAACACTGGTATGTTGTTTCTTTGTTTGAACACGTTATAAATGATGTTATCTATTTGTAGCTAGAATTTACAATTGATAACCTCATTTAGACTCGGTGTAGGCAACATATTAAAAGCGATATCACTACAATATTGAAAAATTAGACGAAACTATTGCTCGGAATCCAATCATTCAGGTAAATCAAGCTTGTTATTGTGCAGAAATTGCAGTTTGATATTTTGCCGCGGAAAACTTCGGCGTCTTATTTATTGGAACTCGTGGTACAGGTCTGTTGAATCTTTAAAAAAGAGAGTCTGATACAAGCCCGTTAGACCTTTTGTGTTGTGTGTGTGTTTATCGTTTATTGCTAATAAGAGTGCAGCTGAACATGAAGGTTTGGGTGTATATATATATACATGGCATAAGCTTTGGCGGATGTAGTACTACCTACAGCATCGTACACCATAATTATATAACGTAACAGCTATTTATAGCACTGTCACTCCACGGGGCGTCCTACTAATATTACAGATGTACAGAGGAAAAAATCAAATGGGCCGATATTTGTCTATGTAGTCTTCTGTAGACAACACATTGCTGACACAATTACCTCAACAGAAGTCAGTACTGAATTATCAATTCTAAAAATAGTTATGGAATTATTTTCTAAAATGGCGGAATTCATTACAGTGACTTGACAGTATTGCCTCAAAGTGCAATAGTCTAGCACAAACAGACTCGCGTAAGAACCGCAAGGCTGTGCTGAATTGCAGTCTCGTGGAACCAGCTTGGTGTGAACGAGACATAAAGTGAACATTATCCAATCAGCATCCAAGATTGTAATTTTACGTGATGGATTACATTGGTAGAAACGCGGTTTTGTAAGCTTATATTAGCATAATATATAGAGTGTTTGCTTTGACCTCGAATGTTAACTAGAGCAAATATAGACAAGACAACAGGTAATTATTTCATTGATACGACTAAACGTACGTTACTCATATAAAGAGAAGTATTCCAACCTTACAAATTCAAATTTACACACTTATTTCAACTTCAATTTCGGTTAATTATAAATTGGTGATCATTTATTTTAGCCTTGATTGCTAAGGTCTAGGAGACACTAGTCACAACTCGGCAGATTCTGTACATACCGGAATCAGCCGATGTTAGTCGAACGGTTTAGGGGAGTGAATATGGTCGGGCGGGTATCAGAAGTCGAGTACAAAGGTCTGGAACAGTGGGGTTGGGATTGGGCATCAGGTACAACGGCCCAGGGGAGTGAATACAGCCAAAGGTCCGAAAGAATGGACATAATAGGATGGGAGTCAAATACCAAAGTGCAAGAGAGTAAATAGATCGGGTGATACGGTCTTCAATTGGAACTGTTGTATATGTTTGTTAAAATACTTGGTAAATGGCGCTATAATTATACGAGCACTTGGTCATTTCTGCTGTTGTGAGAAGAAAGTGAACGATCAAAAAGCAATGTACACCTATTATTTACTAACAAAGTCATCCTGAGAGGCAGACCATTGTAATTACAAGATAACGAATTGACAGCTATTGTATATATAATACATGAGGTAATGGGCATAGCTGATTAGCCTAACATGTCTCTCTGTAATTATACTCTCAAATACACTGGTTCCCAGATTCCGAGGGCATAATCTAAAATATAGACAGTCGTCAATGTCCTAACCTCACATGTCTCAGTAATTATATACTATCAAACATACTATCTCTTTATGTACAGGGGTCTACTCTAAAACAAAGACTGCACCAATCACATAACCACGCATGACTTTAGGATAAATACTATCCCGGGTCTAATCTAAAATATAGACGTCAATGACCTAACCACGCATTACAAAGTATCGAACACACTGTCATTCCAAGTCACGGGGTCAAACTTACCACATACGCTGTACCAATGACATAACCACGCATGCCTTTCGGTAATTACTATCAAACACACTGTCTCCCCGGCTCCCGGGCCAAGTCTAAAATATAACTAACGTCAATGACCTAACCACATATGTCTCTCGGTGATTACATACTAGCTATCAAACACACTGTCTCCCCGTCTCCCGGGCCAAGTCTAAAATATAGTTAACGTCAATGACCTAACCACATGTCTCTTGGTGATTACATACTAGCTATCAAACACACTGTCTCTCCGTCTCCCGGGCCAAGTCTAAAATATAGTTAACGTCAATGACCTAACCACATGTCTCTCGGTGATTACATATATACTAGCTATCAAATACACTGTCTCCCGACGGCTCGGGCCTAGTCTAAAATAATAGACAGGCGTCAATGACCTAACCAAATGTGTCTCTTGGTGATTACATACTTAGCCTGGGCCTACTCTACAACATAGTCAATGGAATAACCAAGCATGTCTTTCGGTAATTACTATTAACCACTCTGTCTCCCCAAGTCCCGAGGCCTACCCTTTTACATAGACTGGTGTTAATTAACTAGCTACACGTACGTGTCTCTCGATGATTGCATACTATCAAATTCAATGTTTCCCTGCGTCCCAGGACCTGCTCTCAACATATAGACTAGCGTCAATGGTCTATCGATACGTGTTTCTTGGCGAGTAAATCCAATGTGTCTCCTCACGTCCCGGGACCCACTCTAGGCCACAGACTGTTGTCGATAGTGCGTCTCGGTATAATACAATTGTTTTGACGAGAATATGCCAATATTCAAAGTACATGTATGACTAGCTATCTTTACCAAAGAAATAAATGCAAAGGAATAAATTCAGCTGTTAAAAGAGACAGATAAAATCGATGTTTTTATCCATTGGACATCCGGTAAACTTTCACAAAACACGAAACCAAAGAATATAGGGAGGGTAATGGAAGCAGAGACTTTGGAGCATCAACTGGTAATTTCTAAAAACCTAATACGACCTTTCAGTCGCTATGTAGGTAACAGATAAATACATTATCAGATACAAAATGTATATTCCCAAAGACTCTATACCGCAAATCCATGTGTTTCGGCGTCCCATCTGTTGAGGTACTCCTCATTATCATCTATAGACAACCAACAGATGCGAGAGAGTGTTACCATGGTTACATTGATATGTTACTGGTTCGCGGTCCAATAAGTGTACCCCCGTAACAGCCACTAGGTAAGCTGTCGTGTACTTCTTACAGGTGCCCTCTTTACTAGATTTACGAATATTATAAATATAGATGAATTGTATATAAAATAGTTCCCTTCCCAGCTCTAAGGGCAAATAAACAATGCGCGAATATCTATATAAGCAGTCTGTTGGCCGTTAGGTTATCAAATAATCTCACTCATTCTTGTTAATCGGACGATGATCAGCGGCTAACGATAACTTCTATTTAGCATATTGCTGACCGTTTGAACAATAGCGTTTTTGAAAGAAAAGATAATGAAATTCTTCCACGAGAATACACTAGCATAACTTTGTACATGATTTTGTTTAAAAAAGTAAAAGTGTATAAAAGAAAGAAATATATTTGCACAGGTTCAGACTTTATATATTTTGGTCATTTAAACAAATGTCCCATTGTTACAACTATAACTCACAACGGAAACACATCTATGATAGTATTACGGATGCTCTCCCTTGTGCTCCGTTCAGATTTTAAACGTAACATAGCACTGCATATACACCAAACTGTACGCGAGACAGTGTAATATGACTTTAAACGTAATTGCAAATTTAACACAAAAATGAGGATTTCATGGTATACAACAGTGGTAGACTTTAACCGTTAAAGAGCACCAGTCATGAAAATTAACAATTAAACTCTATTACCCGAAAATCACGAAAACCAGTATAAGTTACCTTCAAAATAAACATGCACACGTCATGATATGCATGTCACTCCTGCTATCAAAGAGTCATAACAAGTCACCATGTTATGTTTCATTATGTTCTTATAGCCCTGGGAGGCACCAGAAGGTACCACGTTGTAAGTATGTCTATGTGCGAATAGGACAGGCCATTCTGTCCGAATCCCAGTCCTGCACCTAAATCCGTTCAATTATACCCAACATATGGGACCTCAACAACCAATAAATAGAACACTAACCTATCCTTAGTTAAGCGGCACACGTGCGATATAAAATGGCACCTTTCTGATGTTAGTATGTGGAATCGATGTTTCTCGTCCACATGAAGAGAGTGGCTAATTAATACAGTGCTGTACTCGTCCAAGAATAGTTCTGGATAATTACGCCGATCTCTGATGTACGTTTAGACTTGCCCTCCGAGAAAGCTTTCAACCAAATCTCAA